ATAATATATATATATACATATATATATGTATATATATATATATATATATACAAATTTATATACAAATATATATATATATATATATATACAAATTTATATACATATATATATATATATATATATATATATATATATATATATATATATATATATATATATATATATATATATATATAGTAATATATTGGTGACCCTTTTTTTCTAATTCCAACCTCAAACTGTTAGAGGTCGGCATAATTCTAATTCCGACCTCAAACTGTTAGAGGTCGGCATATGGTTGGCAAAAAAATTTGATACAAAGGAGTTACCATAAAACATAGAAACGAAGTTGGCAACAGGCCTTGTTATGAATAAAAACTGCGCGACGCATAAGCACGACGTGATTTTTGACGTCATTAAATTCTTTTTATTTGCTTTTCATATTTATCGACATTAACTGCACCAATTTACTTAATTACCACAAAACTACTTTAAATCATTAATGTCGAAATGTTATTACTTAAAAATGTTTTGGAATGTTTTGTTTTTTAAAATGTAAAAACATTTGTTTATTTTCTCGACGTTTGACACGTTTTGTCTATACTAAACGAATAAAAAACATAAGTTTTTCAAATTTTCAATTATTTTTTTCAATTATTTTTTCTTTTTAAAAAGTTAAAAAATTTTTCTTTTTAAAAAATTTCAATTTTTTTTTTTTTTTAAAAAGTCAGAGAGTAATAAACTGGAAATTTTAATATTGTACGATTAAAAACTGTGCAATAGCTAATATTTTTACTAGCGATTTTGTATAATATTTATTTATTTATTTATTTTTATTTATTTTCATAAAGTGGTTGATAAGCACAATCACTCGTATTATTAAAAACTTTAACGAACATTTTGAATAGATTTTTAATGTTTACAAGGAATTTTATTTTTGGTAAAATAAAATAAAATGTTAGAATAAAAATCTTTTAGGTATAAAAGAAATATTTCAGCGAAAAAATTATTCTTAAAAATTATTATTAAAAATAATTTGAAAAACTATTGACGTTCTATTTTTTAGAACTGTTCTTGAGCACGCTTCGTTGAGTTTCAGTAACTTTTAACAAAAAAGCGATTGTTATTATTTAAGTAATTCTTTTCGAGTTACTTTTTACAAAAAATTTAATAACTGTACTTTTTTATTGAATCAAGTAGAATACGTTTTAATATTAATCCTTTTATTTTTTTTTATTTGCGCTTACTAATTTTTAAATGTTTCCTCGAAGTTACTCTTAAATACTTTAAATTCGTCTAACAGTTAATAAATATTTTTAAATCTAAGGAATAATTTTAAAACCTAACAAACCCCGTAAAATAATTATTTAAGTTAAAAATCTAAAATTAAAAGAAAGTATTTTTGTTCAATTTTATCGACAACTTTGCTATTGCTGAATAATTTTATTAAAATGCTAGCTTAAAAAGATTTAAACTTTTTTTTAATCTGAATTTTTTCTACTTGTAAATAATGAGCATATTTATTTTTTTTGTAATTCAAACTTTTATATCAGCTGCGTGCGGTTTTTAAAATACTTTATTAAATGTTAAAATAATCGTAAATTACTTCATTAAAACTCCGCTCAAAAATATCTTTAAATATACTCGAACAAAAATTTTTTTGCTTGACGCAAATAGCTGTAGCTACACGCAAAATTGCTCTTGGACAACGTAAAATTCACATCGCCCAACGCTTTATCGCAAGGCCTGCGGCAATTTTTTGCCCACCTTAAACACTTTAAGGTAGGCAGTTAGGTCAACATTGCCAAATGCTCACCCTAATTCCGAGGTTTAAACTGTAGTTTTAAAGAAGGTGTTAAGAAACCAGACCAGAAAAAGTTTAAAAGCTTAAATATATATATATATTTTTTTTCTTAAATGATAGACTGCCTGCCCAAATTAAACCCTCAGTCAATGTAGCAGCACTCCATTGCGGGTCAGGCTATTTGTCAGTCGATGTAGCAGCATTCCGTTGCTAGTCAGGCTATAAGATAGTCGATGTAGCAACATTCCCTTGTAGCAGCAGGCTATAAGATAGTCAATGTAGCATGCTCCGCCCCTATTTTAAAAATATATTTTAATAAAACAACAACAAAAACACCATTAATTAAAAAAAACTTTCTTTTCATTATTATTGGGGTTTTTATAAAAAACAATAAAATTTAATGTACTTTCGCATTAATTTAATTGCTTTAACATTTCGAAGACAATAAAATACAGCTTATAAGTCGAGCTATTAAAATTGTAGTCAAAAGAGACTTTTTTTACCAATATATATAAGGATATATATATATATATATATATATATATATATATATATATATATATATATATATATATATATATATATATATATATATATATATATATATATGTATATATACTCTTTTCTACCATTGGTACCTTCAATTGGTTGAAGATTAGATTCACCATTTTAAATTTTTATAGTTTATTAGAGATAAACTTAACAAATGTATTTTAACTGAATTTCTTAGTGTATCCTTTTTTTATATCCTTTACAACCAATAAAAATTTAACAATTGCGTATTGGTTTTACCAAATTTAATTTAATTATAGCAAATAGGAATAACTATCAATTATCTGCACTACAACAGACTAATTGCTATTACGTAAACTATTTGCCATAAATCTGAAAAATCGCAAAACACTGCAAAAATAGCGGAAATTTTTTTAAAAAAGCGCTGATGCGATAAATTGCGAAGCGATTTTTATAGAGAAAATCACTGGGCGCCTCAATTTTTATCTAAAAAATCGAGTGCGATTCCATGCGATTTTTTAATCGCTTTTTATCGCATAATCAAAAAAAATTGATTTTGTGCTAACCGCCAATGTGGTAACGCTGGTGCTTAATTGAATTAAATAGTGTTGGAAAGAGAGAATATGTTGTTTAATTTTGTTATCTTAAATAAAGATGATATGCAAAAAATAACAAGGTCAAGAAAAAAGTGTGAGCACACCTTTTTTCGGAAAAATATCTTTATTTCTGACAGCAAGAAAAATCTTAAAATAAAATTAAACACCACATGCAGTCATATGAAAAAATATTCTTCGTCAATGCATTATTTCTATAATATTAAAGTGTATAAAAAATAGAGGAGTAGTGAGACTCGTTTTAAGTAGAAAAATCTCAATGTTAAAAAATTCACACGATCAGATTAAAAAAGGTAAAAAATACTTTTGTTACAATGTTAAAAAAGATAAAAGATCTAACAGATGATTGCTAGTATGACTAGAAGAAAAAAGGTGCAAATTTAAAAATAATAGCTTCAAAAATAATAGCTTCACTAATAAACTTCAGCTTTATTGCTCAGTCATTTGAATATATTTAATATATTGTGGAATTATGACAGTAAAACATGGCAAGCAATCTATGAAGTATGAAAATGAGGTATTTCAGTAATGGAGATGTCATGACAATTAAATATTTGGTTGACTCTAAAAGATAAGAAAGTTACTTTGTATTATATTAAGTTATGAGTTAAGAATAGTGAGTGTATACATACAGTGGGTGCAAAAAGTATCCAACACAAAGGAAAAACTTTATTTAATTCAAGCCCATTCAACAAAATTACATAAACAAACACAATTTTAATGTAATTTTACATAGGAAATACAAATATCATAAACATTAAATGTTGTTTAATTTTTTAATTATTAAATGTTGACTTGATAATTGCAATATTGTAAAGTTTAAGGTTCAAAAAGTACCCAACACATAGTAAAAAAATTTACCCAATACTTTATCATGTAACCTTTAGCAGCCAAAACTGCTTCTAAACAGTTGGAATACTTTTTCACAAGATTATCACATATGCAATTTCCCAGGGCCTGCAGAAGAAAAACTACCCCAAAGCATTATGCTGCCATCTACAAACTTCACTGTTGCGATGGTATTCTTTGGTTAAAATGTAGAGTTTTTTTTATCTCCAAACACGACTGACACAGTTCTGACCAAATAACTCTAATTTAGTCTCATCTGACCATAATATTTTATTCCAAAAGTTTAAAGGTTTACTCAAGTGTTTTTTAGCAAAGTTCAGGCGGTTCTTTACGCGAATTTTCTTCAAGAAGGGGGTTTTTCTTGGTGACCGAGATTGGAATCCTCTCTTTCGAATTCTTGCATTCGTTTGTCCCAGATGATTGCAGGTCCTTTTGCAGTTCAGAGCTAGTCAGTCAAGGATTTTTCTGTATTTTTCAAACTAAATTCCTAGCCATGCGGTCAGAAATTTTCATAGGACGTCCTGAACAAGGCAGAAAATTCGTAAGATGGAAAGATTTCCACCTCCAAACCATATCACCAACTGTCAAAATTGGGATATTTAACACAGATAAAAATTTTCTATATCCTGAATCATCTTTGTACAGCTGAATAATTGATTTTCTAATTGTTTCAGAAAATTCTGCAGTTTTAGGCATTGTTTAAGAGCACAAATTTTAGGACACCTTCTAATCACAATGTTTGATAGTGAACGATTGCAGTTAAAAAAAATTCTATGACATAATTTTGCATTCTAGAATGTTCCTTCATTTTCTGATTCTAGAATATTCCCTTGCACACAATGGATGACAAATTATTGGTTAATTAAATTTTTTATTTACAATGTGTTGGATACCTTTTGAACCTTAAATTTTACAATATTGTAATTATCAAGTCAACATTTAATAATATTGTTTTTTTGATATGATTTTTGTATTTCCTATGTAAAATCAAATTAGAATAGTGTTTGTTTATGTTATTTTGTTGAATGGGCTTTAGTTAAATAAAGTTTTTCCTACATACATACATACATACATACATACATACATACATACATACATACATACATACATACATACATACATACATACATACATACATACATACAAATAAATATTAATATATATTTGCATAAAATTAAATAGAGTAAACTAAAAATTATATAATTTTTAAATAATATAATAATATAAATTTTTTTTTAAAGGTATTCTGAAATATGTAACCCTGGTTTTGACTTTAAAAATGTGTCTAAACAGCCTGGTACTGGGCATTTTACACAAATTATTTGGAAAGATACAGATAAGCTTGGTATAGGTTTAGCTGTTGCTAACCATCCTAATGGAGATTCCTGCTCCTATGTTGTTGCAAGGTAATTATATATGTATATATATAAATATATATAAATATATATATATATATATATATTTATATATATATATATATATATATATATATATAATATATATATATATATCATACATCTGAATATTTTGTATACTCAATTGCATATTGAGTATTATACTCACATCATACTCAATATGCAACTCATCACACATTTTTTTGAGTATAATACTCAGTACGCAACTTATCATACCTAATTTTGTTAAGTAGAATACTCAATACGCAACTCACCTTACGTATTATTTTTTAGTATTTTGCGTAAAAATACGCAACTTTTTTGAGTGTAAAATAGAATTTTGTTTTTCAGTAATGTGATGTTTTACTTTAATGCATTTAAATCAGAAAAAGGAAATAAGAAAATAAAAGCAAAAATTCATTATAGGCTTCAAAAATGTAATTACATCTCATAAACAAAACAATAATTAAGAAGATTATCTACAAACCAATAAAGAAAATATTTTTATTCAGCCAGTTCATTGAGTATGGCTAAGTGACTTTTTAAAAAAGCACGATTTATTAATGTTTCATCTGTCATATTGCCAGCTCTTTTTCTATTTACTACACTGCATATGCTAAAAAAGCGTTCAACATATGCGGAGGATGTCGGTATATTGTAAAACATAAGACATAAATTATAAAGATACGGTATTTCTTTTCTTTTATCAAACCAAAATGCATTATACTGAGTTTTGTTGGTAAAAATATGGTTTCTTAGAATATTTATAAAGGTATCTCTTTTTTTGTCAGCTAAGTGTTCAATGCTAAGTTCTGTTTTTTTGTATTCTATCTGATCCAATTCTATGCTTAGGTAAAACTGATCAAAGGCTTCATCGTCAGGCACACTTTTTTTAGTGAAATAATTTTTTACATTTGCAGTCAAATCATTTTTTTCATTTTTTTTGTTAAATTCAATTACCAAGTTTACTAATGAGCTTAGGCCCAAATTGACTGTGGCTTTGGCTATCGGTCTTTAGAATTAGATTAAATAAAATTCAATCTATGCTTGAGTAACTGGACATTTTACTTTTTCAAAATAATTTTTTTGATATGCTTTATAAAAACAAATCAACATTAAAAAGCTTGATGACCAACAAGTTAAATTTTCATTTCTTAATCTTTGTTTTTTTTGTTGAAATATTCAAGCAATTTTAATTGTCTGATGAGTCTTTTTAGCAAATGAACAAAGCAATGACAAAACAGTTTTTAGTCATTTGCATGACCTCACAGTATAACGTATAGAAACATTAAATTTGTGGTTTGCTCATGCAAATCGAGGGACTTTTCTTCTACCGAGTTCAAACTCTAATTGATCGATAATACTATGATCCCCAAATTCATAATTTTCAGTATCATCAACCCCAGTAATATCAACTTCAGCATCAATCTCATTAGATAGTTTGCTTAACTTAATATCGTTTTGAATTGGATTTATTTCCTCAGTAAAGCTTTAAAAATGTTAAAGAAATAAATTAATTTAAAGGCAAAATTCTATTTACACTATTACATTCAAAAAAGTTGAGTATTTATACGCAAAATATTCAAAAATAATACGTAAGATGAGTTGTGTATTGAGTATTCTACTTAACAAAAATAGGTATGATAAGTTGCGTACTGAGTATTATACTCAAAAAAATATGTTTGTTGAGTTGCATAATGAATATGATGTGAGTATAATACTCAATACGCAATACGCAAAAAAAAGTGCGTTCTGACGCATGATGTATATGTTAGTCTCCTCTAAGAGACCAATAACATTTTTTAAAGCAAACAATAAAAAAATGAAAAAAGTCAAATTTTTTTAAATTTTTCTTTAGATATAAAAGCGCTGGAAATTATTTGGATAAAATAAAAGAAAATGTTTTAGAAGGATATTTTTCACGAGAAAAATGTAATGCGCTTGAATCAAATGTTTTTAGTAGAAATATATTAGCACGGGCCAGTCATCTACCCATACCAGGTGCAGTACGAACAATGAAAGATCATACCCAAAAACATTCAGTTAAAGGAAAATATAACAAGAAAAAAAAAGAAAAAGACCTAGTTGATCATTCAACACCTATTAAAAATCTAGAAATCAATAAACCAAAGCAGTTTTTAAGTATAAATCAAGTCCCAGCAAATACTCCACAAAAACTGACTGTTGCAACCGATAAGAAAACTGATGTTGACTTTGAAGTTCGTGAAGATACTGATGAAGAACCTCAGTCGAAAAGTAAGATATTGAGACACAGTAAAAATGAAACAGATCTTGATAAAAAATCTCAAATTTATTCCAACCAAAGTTTTGCTAGTTACAAAAAATCACATATTCAAAAAGGATTCAGAGGAAGCAAAGGATTCAAAGGAAGCGAAGGATTCAGAGGAAGCGAAGGATTCAGAGATGCATATCAGTATAATTATAAGAACTTTTGGAATGATGAAAAAAGAGAAAAGCGTTCTAATGAAAAAAATATTAGTGTTAATATAGCAAAAAAGCAAGATTTTATTTATCCTGATTTCAGTCAAGGAGGTGAATTTTCTGCTTCTACTCCAGTTCATTCATTCATTATTAATAGTAAAGGAGCTGTTTTTCCGCTTCCGAATGCTCAGAGTGTTGGACAGTTTGATGCAAATAAAAACCTGTTAGCCCCTAATTTAGAATATTCTAAACCAATCCAAAATGTACAAAATATACTGGCACAACCACCAGTGCAGCAAAATAACTTAGTTGCAAACTCACTGGGTTCCATGTCTTCGATAACTCCTTTATCTTCTAATACAAATTATTTAGACTTGCTAAGGCAATCCAATAAAAATCTAGATAACAGTTTTCTTTTGTCTCAGTTAAATTTGAATAATAAAGTGATTAATCATCCAATTCAATTAAACAATATTATTCAGTCTGGAATAGCAAAGCAAACTGATTTATTAAAAAAGCCAGATGAACAACAAGTTTTGACTGCTTTAAATCAAAACTTACTAAATAATAAGGTGATTGACAGCTCATCAGATCTTGTACGTCAAAAACTTGTATTGCCAAAGTTTGGCAAAAGCTCTGAAGATAATTTAGGTGTACCACTTTGTATGTTACCTGCTATAGATGCTAAAGAAGCATTAGAATTATCTAGCAAAAATTTTAATAATCGAACTTTACCTCGAGCCATAATGAAACTATGTAACAATAGCTTTTTAAATCGTTTAAAGTTTTTAAACCAGTTTAAAAATGGAGAAAATGGTGATGTTGCAAAAAAATTTATTGTTCCAAAGTCAAGAATTCCTTATCGCCTGCAAAGTGTTGGGCTAAGCAAAAAAGATGCAGAATATGAAGTAAACAAATATTTTCAACATTCTAAAAAATCAAAACAAAAAAACTTGATTGTTCATAAAAATCCCCAAAAAAGCACAAAGTTGTTAACCAAATCATATGCTAAAGTTTTAAAAAAACAAGATAATAAAACTTTTAAAGATAAAAACTCTATTAAGTATCAAAAACCTGTTGTTAGTTTTGAAGAGAATAAAAAATATAACAACAAAAGTGATCTAGAAAATTACTTAGGAAACATTGTTGTCAAGCTACATGATTTAAATAGTGGCAAGAATGCTGACACTTATCAAACAAAAAAATCAAGTGTTAAAACTGAATCTCAATTAGAAACAAAGTCAAGCCGTAAATTTGCTATTGATGCATCAATAAAACCTGAGAATTCAGTTACAGACACTGGACACAAGCGGTTGTTACAAAGTCAAGAAAACATTGAGGCAAAACAGTTTGATTCTGCCTATAGCTCAATGCCGCATGAAATTGGAATTGAACAAATGCATGAAAATAATCATATTGAAGAAGTCAGTGCTAATGCTAACTCTGGATCATATACGGCTACTGAGTTAGAAGTAAATGACAAACAATTTCCATCTAATAATCAAGAAACATTAGTTAATGACCACGACACTGAGTTATATGGTTTAAATTCTGAACAAAACACAGGGTGGAAGGGAGACCAGGGTGTAGAACAAAACGCAGGATGGAAAGGAGAACAGGGTGGAGAAAAAGATTTAGAAGAAGCTTTTAATAATAACTTTGGTTCCAGCACACAAAAAACTTTACCTGTTGAAAAATCTGAAACTTCTGTTACTGCCACTGACAGTATGCAAGATTTGGATCATTCACAATCACTGTCAAATAAAGAAGAAGAGAAAATAAGTAGTGATAATAGTGTTCAAGCGTCTACTGAAGATGAATCAGCCCTAGCAGCAAAGTTTAAGATGGCTCCAAAGACTGTTGATGTACCAAACATAAAGCCATTGCAAACTTATAGCAAAGAATTGGAAAAAGAGGTACAAAGAATTCCAACTGAAGAAATTAAAGATAGTAATATAGAAGCTAATGTTGTTGCACATCATATTGCTAATTCTTTTAACTGGGATGTATTAAATACTCCAACACATAAAAAAAAAGTTAAAAGTCATGACTTGAATACCCATGACGCAAAACAAGATTCAAAGCAAAAAGGTTTGCATGTTTATGATAGCAATTTAATATTAGACAGAAATCAACGAAATGTAAGAAGTGGAAAAAATAAAATAGAAAACAGATCGCTTGAACAAATTTTTGATGCTGATGAAAAAGAAAATAAAATTGAAAATTTAGAGGAGCAAAAAGACGGACTTCAAAATTACAAAATCACAAATGATTACCAAAAACCATACAATAAAGAAAATATAAAAAGTTATTTAGCTTTGCGTCATTTTAAAGAGTACCAATTAAAAAAATTAAAAGATGTTCATGAAAAACAGTTACTCAAAGCAAAATTAAATAAAAAAATCGAAGAGAAAGAACTTAAAAAATTTAGTGAAGATTTTTTAAAGGAAGCAACAAAGTTAATGAAAGAATCTTCTAGCAAAGAAAAGAAAAAAAAATTGAAACTTAGCAAACTAGACAATGCCAAAATGAAATCTAAAGAATCTGATGATTCAGAATTAGATTCTGATATTCAACCTATTGCTAACAGTAGTAAAAACAAACCTGAAAAAATTGAAAAAGAATTTGGAAATTTAGAAGACAAAATAAAAGTGGTTGATCCATCCTTGGCTGATCAGACGTTTTCGGATCATACATCTCTCTTACCTGATGATGAAATCTTCTTGAGACCTCAAAGTATAACTTTTTTAAAAAAATTACTTATCCTTTTGTTTAAGAAATTTATTTTATATATTTAGCTTATTATTTAATATATTTATACAATATATTTTATGTATTTATTTTAACTTATTTATATAACCATTTTATATCGCCATTTTATTATTCAAATAATTTAAGTATTGATTGTATATATTTATGTTATTTTTCATTATATTTATGTATTCATCTAGTATATTTATGTTATTATTAACCATTTGATATATTTATGTCATCAATGCATTTATTTAACAATTGAATATTTTTATATTCAATGTTTTGTGTAATATTTTAACATATTTATGTCAATAACTAATACATAGTCACATTGTTGTTATTGGTGACTTTAATGTTCATCACACTGAATGGCTTGTCTCTTCGCCACTGACCCTGCTAGCACTAAAAGGACATACCTTCTGCATTTCTCAATCTCTTACTCAGGTAGTTAACTTGGTGACTCATTTTCCAGACAACCCTAATCACTTACCTTCACTCCTTGATTTGTGTCTTGTCTCTGACCCTAGCTTGTGTTCAGTTTCTCATTTTATCCCTTAAGTGGTTCTGACCATGCAATGATATCTATAAATCTTTCATCTTGTTCTTCTTCTTTGGACTCATCTTATCATTGCACTACTTACAGCAGCCCTAAAGCTGACTGGAATTCTTTTTGTAACTTTCTTTGTGATGGTCCTTGGATGGATTTCTTTTCTCTCTCACACCTGATAAATGCGCCTCCTATGAAATCTCCTGGATTCAGGCAGGAGTTGAAGCTTTTATTCCTTTACATGGGTTCCAAGTCAAGCTTCATTCTACTGCATGGTTTTCACATTCTTGCAGCTGCTATATCTAATCCTTATCATTTTTTTTATCTTTTTCAAAAGAGTAACTCTTTATAACAAACGGTTATTTATTATTGCAAGAAATTGATGTAAAAAAGTAGTCTGATGCTAAGCTCCATTATTCTCAGTTCATTAAATCTTGTATCTCAGAAGTTAAGCTCTAGAAACTTTGGAAAACCTTCAACAGCATCATTAACAAGGGTGGGTCTAGCATACTATCTCTCATTCATGAGACTGATCTTATTGCCTCTCCCTGGGATCGTGGGATCATGGTTTCGGTTTTCAAAAACTCTAGAGAACATTCTAATTCCATAATTGTTATCTAAGCAATTTTTCTTTCTGTTATCTAAGCAGTCTTCTTTCTGTTATTAGCAAGGTCTTTGATTCATTGATCAATTAATTTCTCACATCCCATCTTGAGTCAAATAACTTACCACCAGACAATCAATATGGTTTTCCATCCTCTCGCTCTACGGCTAACTTTCTAACTGCTGTGGCTGATTTTATTGTGTATTAGAAGCAGAGAGGCTAGGGCTATTGCTTTTAACACATCTAAAGCTTTCAACAAAGTTTGACATGCTGGTCTTTTCCAGAAGTTTGCTTCATATGGTAAAAAATTTTATATTTCTAGTAAAATATTTAAAATATTTATAGTAGCTTCTGGGGTACCTCAAGGTTCTATCTTTGGTTCTGTTTTGTTTCTTATCTACATTAATGATCTTCTTGACAACCTTACATCTAAAGTAGCTCTTTTTGCTGATAACGCAACTTTATACTCCTGTTTTTACAAAAAATTTTCTCTTTTCAATCACTTAGAACAGGCAGTCGATCTTGAATCTGATCTCACTTTTGTAACATATTTGAGCTTGCAGTAGCTTGTAAATTTTAACTCCAACAAAACTCAGTTATTTACTGCAAAAAAACTATCACAATAAAATAAAAAGAATTATCCTTGTCTACTGACCTTTCATGGAAACCATATATACAATCGATTTCTAAATAAGCATCTTCTAAGGTTGCTGCTCAAAGGAGCATCTCTAGGATCAAATCAAAGGATCATCTCTAGTTCCATCAACTAAGACTCATTCTTGCTTGACTCTTCATTCATGCTCTAAAAACTTTTATTCATCTAGTTTTTTCCCCCGCACATCAACCCTTTCGAACTCGCTCCAATCTTTATGTTTTCCTGACTTATACAACGTAAAACTTCTGTCAATCGTTTCCTTGCTTTATAACTCTATTCTTTTTTTTTCTAGTAACTCCCAGTTTAATAGTGTTAATAGTGCAGCCTTGTTGGTAGTGAATTTGAATAAATAAAAAAAAAGTATTTAACATTTTTATGTTATTATTCAAAAATGTTTGTGTAATAATTTAACATTTTCAATGATATTTTTTACCACAATAGATCTCATTCATACTTAGATACCATCTGTCACACTTCACTTGGATACTCACACTTAGATACCATCTGTCACACTTGGATATTTGTCATACTTTTACTTTGATTGCACCTAGATGTTGATATTTTATTTTAATATTAACTATATAGTGTCAAAAACAATACATATATCTTTTTCTACAGAAACATACAATTTTTCAAAATTCAAGAAGTTATTAAAGTTCTTGTTTTTTTAAAAAGTTTTACATTTTTTAGTATTAAACTTATAATTAAAAAAATGTAAATTTTTTACGTAAATTAATTTGAAAGAATTTTGAATCTTGTTATTAATAATATATTAACAAGGTTCAATATTCTTCCATAATATTGTTTTATTGTTATTAAAAGGTCATTGAAAAATAATGTAAATAAAAACAGTTAAAGCCCTTAAACTCTTAAATCAGATTTTAAATCACTAATTCTTTAATTATGGTACATTACTTTGTATATGATTCTAATTAAAAAATATATTTCAATTAATTTTGATATTAACCTTCTATAAGGTAAAATTTTGAAAAAGTGTTTCTATGGTAACAAAACATGGATAAAATGCAAGTTGTTATTTCATATAAAATCTAAAATTCTAAAATTTAAAAAATTTAGAAATCATGTTGTTGATTGAAAAAATGCCTATTGAATTCCTAATACTTTGCTAAATTTCTACTTGCAATTCATTCCAACATCTTGAACAAATAAATTATTAGTCATATAGTATTGAAGTTGCAAGGTACTGAAGTCACTGGTTGATATTTTTTGGCTTTTAGGTTATTTTCATTTTGAAACATTAAAGTAACATTTTCAAAGCTTTTTTTCCAAAATATAGAAAGATTATTATTCATTAAACTTTGGTAATAAATGTTTTTCAGCTGTATTGGTAAGCTTAAACAACATTTGTGCATGTTTTTAACAAATAAGGGGATGATGGTATCATAAACCCAACGAAAATTTCTAAAATAGAAAAAAAAACACTATAAGTAATGAGAGAAATTGTATTAATTTATGTTTCTTAAATTGTTCAAATGAAAATGTTCAAATGTTCAATGAAAAAAAAAAAAAGGAAAGCCATGATATTATAGTTTGTTATTATTTCAGTGAATATGAGATTGCAAAGATATATTAAAATTTTTTGAAGTGATGTGACACAAATACAACCTTTTATTACAATTGATGAATAAGCGTTCAAGCGTGGTATAAGTTATAACTTAAATTGAGAAAACAATTTTCCTTAACTGATTTTCCTTTGTAATTGTTTCTTTAGATATACAAGCTAACCACTGATAAGAAGTAATGCCACCCTTAGTCATTGTGGTAAGCCACCCTTAGTCATTGTGGCTATCTCATAGGCATCAGCTACAATATGCATTATATATGCTGAAAAATTGTCCTTTCATACTCTATAATTGCAAAGTGATACTATTCCAGAGTAATTGTATCTTTATCTGAAGAACCTCTATACCAGTAAGATTCTTCGCCATTGCACAGGAATGGAAATTGAGTCTGACTCTTCATACCATTTCCGTTTCCTAATTTTTCACTTACTTTTCTTTTTCTTTTTTTTCCTCTCTTATTTTCTTTCATTTTCTCTTTTTTCTTCTTTCCTTTTCAGTTTCTAGTTAGAAAAAATTAAATGGTATAATAACTCATAAAAACTGGTGGTTTAATAAATCATAAAATGGTGGTCTAATAAATCATAAAAGCATGAAACATGCATATTAGTTTGAGTAAAGAAAAGCAAAGAAATTAGTGAGTAATTGACCATTCTTGTCAATTACTAAATATTTTTGAAATTTTTTGATCCATTATTTGACCACTCTCATTACTGACTACAGATGGACAAAAAAAAAGTGTACAATAAAAAATATGAAATGATGTAAAAAAAGTAAAAAGACAATAAATAGCTTTTAATTAGTATCAAACCAAAATCAAAATGTAATCATATAATTTTAAATGAAAAGGTACTTACTGTATTTTGGGAATTGTAAATAAAGTTAATTTAAAATTAACTTTAATTACAATTCCAAAATACAAGTCCCCAAAACGAATTGTGGACATAAACTTAAAAAATTAAACATGTTTAGTAAACATTGACTGATGTGATGTGTAAGTTAATGGACAAGGTAAAAATGTCAATAACTTATTTATAAATAAAAAAAAACTTTTATTATATTTTTTTAAAATAAAGTTTTTATCTTTTAATAAAAATAAGTTATTTTTTAAATAAAAAAATACAACCATCTGCAATTGATCTCAGTTTTACTTTGACGCCTTTAATAAGGGTAAAAAATTTAAATCAATTTGTTGTAGTTTTAATTTAATTCGACCAAAACTTGCTCTGTTGAATCTTGTTAAACCTTTTTTTATCTAACAAGTCACATTATATGTGAACTAAACAAGTCACATTATATGTGATTTTGCTTCATTTGCTTTTATGTGTTGACAGATCAGATGTGTGTCACGTGTGAAACTTTTCAGGGGGATTTCTATCTTTCCATCTTTAATTTTTATAAAAATTTTATGCTGCAAATTTATACATTATAGTTTATATATTATATATTTACTATTTATATTTATTTTTTATTTATTATATAAAAATTATTACATAAATTATTTAGTAACAATTTTAAAATAATTTAGTTTCCTAATTACATTATTTCAAAAATTAATTTTTATAGATCCATCTATTGTTGAGCAATCTGCTCTGATGGCAATAAATCAACTTCGTGCAATTCATCTTGCTCCAAAACTACATTTAAGTGAAAAACTTTCTCGAGATGCACAACTGTATGCTAATGAGCTAGTTCAAAGACATGGTGGTGTATTAATTAACTCACCTATCCTTACTCGGCTTGATCAGGGAGAGAATTTAGCAATTGACTGTGACCCTCATGATAAATTAATGTCTGGTTCTGAAGCAGTTGTGAAATGGTATGAAGTGTTTTTAAAATTGTTTTATTTTATTAAGTTTTTTTACAAAGATATTTCACAACCAAAAATGTTTTTAAAAACTACATTTAGGTATAAAGAGCTTTGTGAAAAAGAATACAACTTTAATGAGGAACCTACAGCTGATCAAGCTCTTGGCACGCTTCATTTTACCCAAATGGTTTGGCAGTCTACAAAAATATTTGGTATCGGTATCGTTACCACCAAAAAAAATAAAATGACTTGTACTATTGTTGTGGCTCGGTTTCATCCTCCAGGAAACATTCCAAAAAGGTTTAAGAAAAATGTTATTGAAGGACTGTTTGATGGAAAAATTTGTGCATCTATTAAAAAAATTAGTGATGCTAGTGACTCTATAGTAGACCATACTGCTCTATATTCTTCACAGATTAAAAGTGATCAATACATCAAACACCCACATAAGTCTAAGAATGAGAAATCTTTATTTGGGCAACCAAAGTTTGACATAAAAGAGTTAGGTAATTTTGTTAATAAGACAGGTAATGATTTCAGTGAAAATTCTGATGAAGAAAATATAAAAGCCTCTCTAGAAGAAAATGATGAAAAAAACGTAAAATTTGAAAGAGCAAATGAACATCCTTTGTATCAGAAAGTTCTCCAACAAATGAATGAAATAGAACAGCAAAAAAAAGTAGCAAAGTATTATTCTGCTCCGGATATTGCTATGGCAACAGAAAACTACAAACCTAAAGTCATTGCAAATGATCAGCAAATAACTGAAGACATCAATATTCCTCTCTACTCTGAGAGTGCTGCAAAAGATTTTGTGAGCATTAGAGGTTTAATTGGAAAATCAAATAGTTCTTTAGAAGCTCTTGAAACTCCACTACACCTGAAAGGAAGTCCACTTGATGAACTGGATGATGAGCCAAAGTTAAAATTTATTCGAGCTGATGAAAAAGGAGGCGACGTAGAGGATATGATGCGTTCCAATAACAGAGCTTTAATGAAAGAAGATTTTATTCATAAAAACATTTCTGGAGATGCTGATGTCTCAGAACTACTTTGGAATAAAGATGAGGGAGGACATGATCATTCATTTGTTCGAAGCAATCACAGAATGAATGGTTTCCATCAATCAGTGGATTTACCTTCAGAACATGAAATAGGGTATGTTTCTAAAATCCAAGATGATAATGACCTGTCAGAGAATGAAAAACAAACAAAAGTTGTTCATAATGAGATAAATAGTGATACTCAAAGTTTAGAAAATTCTACTCACAATGAAATTTCAAAGGATGAGGAAGAGTCAGCCATTTTGAACAAATATCTTACAAATAAACTAAAAATGCACAATTATAAAGCAATTCAAATAGGAGAACATTTAATTCTGCATACACTTGGAAATTCATCAATTGAAAATTTGAACAATAAAATTTCTTCTAAAGTTAAGGAGGAAAAGATGAATTTACCTAATGAAGACAAAGAAAAGACAAATTTATCCAATGAAGACAAGGAAAATATGAGTTTATCCAATGAAGAGAAAGAAAATATAAGTTTGTCCAATGTAGATAAGGAAAAGATGAGTTTGTCCAATGAAGACAAAGAAAAGATGAGTTTGTCAAATGAAGACAAGGAAAAGATGAGTTTGTCCAATGAAGACAAGGAAAAGATGAGTTTGTCCAATGAAGACAAGGAACAGATGAGTTTGTCCAATGAAGACAAGGAAAAGATGAGTTTGTCAAATGAAGATAAGGAGAAGATGATTTTATCAAATAAAGTAGATGAAAAGATGAGTTTGTCTAATGAAGAAAATGAAAAGATGTCTAACAAAGAAGAAGAAAGTTTGTCTAATAAAGAAAAGGAAAAGATTAGACTGTCAAATAAAAAAAAGAAAAAGTTGTCTAGTAAATTAACCAATGGAAATGACCGCTTTATGTTAAATACTGATCAAGAAAAAGTTGAAATTAAAAAATATGACAATGAAGAAAAAAAACCTGGTAGCAAAAAACTTAATGCTTTAAATGAGCAAAATGAAGGTGAAAAGAAACCGGAAGATTTAATATACGAATCTTCTTCATTAAAGAATAGTAGAAAAAAGTTAAACCATCTTGATCAATCTCATTATGAACATCCACAAAATAAAAAATTGGGTAATAGCCTTGAAGATCAAACTACATTTGAAGAAAATAATGAAGGATCAAAGACTCTTAATGCAAATATTAAAAATAAAGAACAGGTTCAGACAGTAAAAAAACCACCTAATCGTAAACCTCCAAAGGGTCTTAAAGGACATGGAGAAGAAGAACAACCTGAGGATAATAAACCAGTTGCTGGAAATGAGATGTTAGGTAACAATGAAAATAAAAGACCATCAAAAAGACCTACACATGGATCTGATCCATACAAGCCTATCCTTAGTCCATCCCCTACTCCTCTGGTTATCCCCAGTCCAAGCCCAATGTCTAGTTCATTTGATGCCAAATTAGTTCAGACATTAGGGCCATGGCCCTCTGTAAGCTTCTCTAGTTTTGGTAGTCCAGTTGTATTGCATATTGGTGCTACAGGATTTTATGAAGGTGTGTTTTTAATATTTTTATGTTTAGGATGAATTTGAACCTTAAACTTTTTGATTATGGTATAACTTACAATCAAAAGATTTGAGGTTCAAATTCACCCTATGCTTCTTCTAAACAGCAGTTTTACTTAGCAAGATTTTCGGAGTTTAGAGTTTAGAGAGCAAGTTTCAAATAGAATGAAAAAAATAAAAGATTTTTTAACTGTAGTGAGAGGAGATAAATTTAATTCTTTTTAAAAACAACCTGTGTATGTTAATTTTTAATTGAACAAAATTTAAAGCAAATAAAATTAGTTTAACATAAATAAGGTTAACTCAACAATCATAAAAAATAATAAAATACATTCAACAAAATTTAAAATATTTTAGGTTAATTTAGTATAAATTCTTACTTTTAGTTAAAAACAAGAAAAATAAATAAATGAAATGCATAATATCATTGATTTAAAAAAGGTTTTTTTTTATTCTCATCAGACAACAGTTATTAAATTATTTTTCAAAAATAAAGTTGTGTAAAAAGTTTAAATTTACTTTAGATAACACTCTTAGATAACACTGTTTTAAATATTTTAACAAAATATTCTCTATAGGTTGAGACCAATTTATTGTTCGAAACTTTACAAAAGCAAGAACTCATGCATGCATTTTTATTGGTGTAAATAGTGACTTTTTTTGCTGCATTTTTTGAATAACAGGTTTGCATTTTATGATCACTTTGTGTGGCTGTAAATTAAAGACTATTTATCTCCATAATATGTTACCATACCTATCATACATGTTTCATGCAGCATTCCTGATATTTAAAGAAGAGTTTGACTATTTTCCATTTATTTGGTACTGGTTAATTAGTTTAAGTTTATGATGTGTTTTAATGGACCAACAATAGTTTAACATTTTTGTTAAAAAAAACTGGCATAAAAAGTTATATAAATATGATTTTTAGCATTTTTTTCTACAATTGATTTTGAAAGATAAATTTAGTTCATAATTTAAGTGAGTTTCTATTACATTAAATTTTAAATGTATTAAACAAAAAACCATAACTTGATAATAAAAATACAACTTTAACAATTTGTCCAAAAAAACTCATCAATTCTTAATGCATAGATTTTTTCAAAATTTCTATACAGTGGTATTGTTTTTATTTATATTTACATATGTATATATATATATTTAAATATAGCTAAAATAAAGTTTATATTATGTAAAATCTATATAAAAAATATATAAAACAAATTTATAGTTTAAAGTATTTTTATAAATACAAGTTTCAATACTTTTTTAACAGATGATTTAGCATTTCTACGTATCGGACTAAGTACTCATAATAAACTTAGAAAAATACATGGTTCACCACCCATGGAAATGGACCAAGAACTTACTGCTAAAGCATATCGACATGCTGTTTCACTCACTAATCTTGGTTATTTGAAACATGAATCCTTAAAACAAAATCCTACATTAGAATTGTTACCTGGAGTTATCTCAACAGTGGGAGAGAATTTATTTTTAGGCTGTTATGACGGAGAGTATGATATTTCTGCAGAAGAGGCTGTTGTAAGATGGTAAGAAATTTTCTCTTTTTTCATTTTTCAATTTTTTTTTTTAATTTTTGTTAACTTTTATATATTTTTCTTATAATTTTTAGGTATGGGGAAGTATGTTCTCCTGGTCATTGTTTCAATAAAACTTCTCAATGTTCTGGAACTGGGCACTTTTCTCAAGTTGTTTGGGCTTCCAGTGTAAAGCTTGGCATGGCAAAAGCAACGCGTATGCAAAATGGACTTAGATGCACATATATTGTTGCAAAATACTTTCCTGAAGGTAATAATCACATGCTTTATAATGAAAATGTTCTTAAAGGAAACTTCAATGAAAAAGAAACATGCCATGACGTAATAGAGGCTTTAGTTACCTTTGAAACAAGAAATATTGATAAAGCAAATATGGTAGCTAAAGAAAAAAATTTGGCAAGAATGGAGTTTTTAAAATCCTTAAAGGTATTTTTTATTCTTTTATTTGTATTTCAATAATAAACTTCTCTAACTGTCATTGCTTAAAACCATTGCTTAAAGCTATTACTTAAAAGCATTGCTTAAAATCTTTTTTCATACTTAATATGTTGAATTGCTTTAAAAAATATTTTTTTGAAGGATGCTGAAAAACAAGTGACAGAAAATCTTAATAAAGAATTAGCTACAGGTAATGTTCAATTGTATAATTCAAGTTGTTGTGGGTTGATGTTGAATGATCTTGATCAAATAAAAGAAAATTTACCTGTAAATGCAGGTGGAACTGGTACTGAAATAAACAATGTTCAACAGATTTCTCAAGATCATTTTGAAGAATTAAAAAATTCAAATCCAGCACCTATCCTAAATTCGAAGTTTGCTTTAAAAACCCAAAAAGCTATTAGAAATGACGGTTTGCAAGATAGCAGACAAGAATTAATCAGAGATCAAAGGTATATGAATTCTACATTTATCACTTCATCAAAGAACAAAAACTCTGTTAGTGAGATGAATCCTATTAGAGAAGCAAAAGTTTCTGATGAAAATGAAATTTTAAATGTAAAAGATCCTAATCTTGAACTAAATTCTCAACACTCTAATGACGAGATGGAAGCAAATGGTGTTACCAAAAGTGATAGCGGATTAGATAAAGAGGCTGTTTCTAGTTTCACACCTTCAGAGATAAATGATCTTGACATAACAACTGCTAGAAACAAATTGCATACTAAGAAACAGGCAGAAGTATCTTTGGACCAAGATGTTAACCTAATACAGCAATCAGAAAATAAAAGTAAACCTATTAAAAAAAAAGAAAATGAGTCCAACTTGGAAAAGTTGATGCATAATCAAAAAAAGAATAAAAAACTATCTTTAGGAAATACTAGAGTTGATGGGGTTTCAAATAATGACTTTGATGATGAAGAAAAAATAAGACCTCAACAACAAAGTAAACATGATCCTTTAGAGTCGACAATTTTTCCAACTCTTCGAAAAACCCAAAAAAGTGTTTCCAAAAAAAAACCTGTCATTGTTGCTAACAGAGAAGATTCGATTGATGCAGAATCTGGAGATAGTGATGAAAACATAAGTCAAAAAAAAGAATCTCATATTAAAAAAATTTCAGGACAAAAATTGCCTACCGTAAACATAAATGTTCCCGGAGGTCCTAATGACCCTACGGCAAAATTAGAAGATATGGCTGCTGCAAGTCACTCTGCAGAGACAGAATATAAACCAAATTCAATTTCGAAACCAGTATTAGATGAAAAATTTAATAATCACAATAAAACAGTTAAAGTTGTATTAAGCTACAAAGATCGACTTCAGAATTTATTGAAAATGAAAAATTTTAAAAATAATTCTTTAAACTTGTTAACTCAAGATTTGAGTAAAGACATACATCATGTGTTTGAAACCTCTACTAATGTTGCCATGCCAACTAATGTTGCCAGTGGGCTGATTTTGAATAAATTGAAAAATCCAATTATTGATAGTTTAGTTCCAAATGAAATCAATCCGGAAGATTCTATTCAGAAACCTTCTTCTGTGTACCAACATTTTAATAGTGAAAGTCATACCTTGACAAATAAATTAAAATGGAATGATGAAGAAAATAAGCAGACACCTTATTTGACAGATAATATAAACATTACAGATATTCATCAATATGATGATGACAGGTTTATATCTGATTCCGATGATCTTTCATCATCACCAACTATATCAGTAAAAGTGGAGTGTAAAATAAGCTCTGAGAATCCAGATCAAGCTGCACCTTATTTATTGTCAACAAAATGCGGAAGTGAAAATGAAAAAGCGTTTCATGGCCCAATGACTGGTGATGTTTCATGTAAGTATAAATTTAATTTTCTTAAGCAGCCTTTAAATTCCATATTTTGTATGTCTTCGGCTGATTAAGAACATTTATAAAAATCCTAATTTTCAGCCCTGCTGTAATTACATTAATCTTTTAAGTAAATTAAACTTTTTTTTTTTTCAAGTTCTATTTTAGCTTTCACATCGAGTGTGTAACTGAAACATCTATAAGAAACTTAAAAATTTTATATCAAATATTAAGTCCATCCACTCCCAAACTCTGTTTTATTTACTCCTAAATTCTGTTTTATAATTAAATATACAATTAATTACATTATTTTTTGTTTACATTTTATTTTAATATTTCATTATTTCATTTTTAAATATTTTATTTATTTAAATATTTTCTAGTGTTTCAGTTATCAGCATTGAATGCGCACAATGCTTATCGACATGCACACAATGCACCTTCATTAGTTTTAAATGCACAAATGTCAAAAGAGGCAACTGAGTATGCGAAGAAAATTGCTGAAGCTGCCTCATTAAGTCATTCTAATACTGAAGATGGTGAAAATATTGCTACTGTTTGTCGTAGTAAAGATGAGCTAATGACAGGACAGGAAGCTTCAACAATATGGTTTTTAAATATTGAAGTTTTTCTTTGATCAGTATTTGTTTAATTTTGTTAAAAAATTGTTTTCAAGGATTAAATAATATTTTCAAGTAGTTTTGAAAGTAGTTAGTGACAGTGTAATTGTTTCATTTAGGTATAGAGAAGTATGTGACCCTGGCTATGATTTTTCTGCTGCTGTACCTGGGAAAGCTGGTCATTTTACCCAAGTTGTATGGAAAACCTCAAGACAATTTGGTATAGGGCGTGCTTCTAAGTTTCACAATGGACTGTTATGTACATATGTTGTAGCCAGATATCGCCCTGCAGGGAATTTTATTGGTGAATTTGCTGCTAATGTCTTGCAAGGTCATTTTCGATCACCTCGTGAATGTTTGAATTTAGCTAGAAAAAGGTCTGGTATTCGATTTCCCAGATCATTTAAGGAGGAAAAAAGAAACATTAGTAAAGATAATTATTATTACAAAAAAAATTTGTATGCAAGTAACACAAAGAATGAAAGTATTTATGATAAAGGAAGAAAATTTAGTGGTAAAAAACTGGTTTCAGGCTATTTTGGCATTTTTCTACCAACTAATGTTTCATCAAATGAGGTGTCAAAAGAATTAGAGAGCAAGTCAACAGAAAATCAACTTGAGATTAGTTTGAATACTCCTTTAGCTGGTGATTTCTTATTAGACAATCAAGTTTCAGGTTTTTACATATTTTATAAGATATTTTTTTGTTTCCTTGTGGGATTAAGGTTTTTAAAATTATAATATTTCATTTTTTATTAATTTATTTTAGAGTTTGAATTAACAAGCTTAAAGCTTCACAACTTGTTTCGAAGTGTTCACCTATCACCACCCCTCAGTCTTGATAATAATCTCACATTTGAAGCAAAAAAGAGAGCTGATTTCATTGCAGGTGATTTTCAATCATGACTTGTATATTGATACTTGTGTGTATATATTGATACTTGTGTGTGTATATTGATACTTGTGTGTGTATATATATACACACTTGTGTGTGCATTTTATTGTCGATGTTTTAAATCTTTGGTTTCAATAGAAGATTGTTTCTTTATAAGTGTGTATTTATTGTCTATGAAACATGGTGGATGTAGTGTTAAGGTGTGTGGCTATTTTTTGTCAGAATTCCACAAGTGACATTGTAAAAATAGAGGCAGTAATGACAAAAAGTAGTTTATTTGGACATTTAAAAAAGTCATGCTATACCTATGGAAAGTTGGATTATTGAGTAGCTATTTATTGTTTTAGAAGAAAACAACTTAAAGCTTAAATCCAAAACATGAAATGCCCCATTTCAAATAGACTTTGTAATGACATCCTTTACTTCGATTGTTTGACCTCCTTGTAATGACATCCTTTACTTTGATTGTTTGACCTCCTTGTAATGACATCCTTCACTTTGATTGTTTGACCTCCTTGTAATGACATCCTTTACTTCGATTGTTTGACCTCTATGTAATGACATCCTTCACTTTGATTGTTTGACCTCCTTGTAATGACATCCTTTACTTCGATTGTTTGACCTCTTAATAAATAAAAAAGGTTTGATTAGATAACCAACAATAGAGTGCTTCGCCTTAATTTTAAACCACATATGAAAGTATACTTTCAATATGTTTTTCAGATTAGTTGATAATCTGCTGTCTCTGCCAGACCCAGTCATTGAATTTATAGAATCCATTCACATGTAAATCCATTCACAGTCATTGAATTTGTAGAATCACAATTTAAGTTTGATCTTAATCCCTTAGGAACCTTTAGAATTCTTATAATTCTTTAGGAACCATCCAGTTATAAAACATAATTGCAGCATTTTAAGCTGGTTTGTTTGGACCCTTTAAAGGTATTTAATGGGTCAAATAGTTTTCATCTGATTCAGAAGTATCACTTATTTTTTTTTGCTTTTCTATTCTTTGACAAAATGTTTTAGCAGTCTTCAATCAAAATTAGAGTGGGATCTTTTTCTTCGACTACAAATATACCTTTGATAGGAACTTCAATAATGAGTTTTTCTTCGACTACAAATATACCTTTGATAGGAACTTCAATAATTAGTTTTTCTTTGACTACAAATATACCTTTGATAGGAACTTCAATAATGAGTTTTTCTTTGACTACAAATATACCTTTGATAGGAACTTCAATAATGAGTTTTTCTTCGACTACAAATATACCTTTTATAGGAGCTTCAATAATTAGTTTTTCTTCGACTACAAATATACATTTGATAGGAACTTCAATAATTAGTTTTTCTTCGACTACAAATATACCTTTGATAGGAGCTTCAATAATTAGTTTTTCTTCGACTATAAATATGCCTTTGATAGGAATTTCAATAATGAGTTTTTCTTCGACTACAAATATACCTTTGATAGGAACTTCAATAATGAGTTTTTCTTCGACTACAAATATACCTTTGATAGGAACTTCAATAATGAGTTTTTCTTCGACTTCAAATATACCTTTGATAGGAACTTCAATAATGAGTTTTTCTGACAAAACTCTAGTTTTAACTGTAACCTCTTGTCTAGCTCTCCAAATTTTTTTAGGATCTCATGCTAAATTAGCTATTTTTTAGGATCACATGCTAAATTAGCACATGCTAAATTAAAAGGTTCCCATACTTAAATGTATATACGTATACAATTTTAAAATACAATCTTGTATAACTATTGTTTGTAAATTGGCAGAGGGATTGGTGAAGAGGGATAGCATTTTGCTTCATCCCTCATCACTTTGAGCACTTTTTTTTTATTTTTTTTTTTTATTTTACTTCACCTCCTCAAGGCCGAGAAGGCCACTACAGACGAGGAGGCTACTTATTTTGTGGCTATAACCCTCTCTCAACTCTATAACTCCGAAACACGAACCTTGACGAACAAGGCTGCTGCGCGGAGAAACGAGTTGAGCGTGGTACTACCAGGGACGTGGTGGGTATCGAACTTGGAACCACTCGTTTATAAAGCGAGCGCTCTACCACTACACCACTACCGCAGATAAATTAAATTTTTTGTTTACATATTATTTTAATATTTCATTATTTCATTTTTAAATATTTTATTTATTTAAATATTTTCTAGTGTTTCAGTTATCAGCATTGAATGCGCACAATGCTTATCGACATGCACACAATGCACCTTCATTAGTTTTAAATGCACAAATGTCAAAACACATGCATTATATGTATATCTTTAAATGTAGATATACATATAATGCATGTATGTTTGTATACCATGTATGTTTGTATATAATGTAGGTTTTATATTTTGTATGTTTGTAAATAATGTCTGTTTTTATATAATGTATGTTTGTATAAATAATGTGTATAACAATACTTATTATGATATTAAGGAAAAGACATATATCTAAAGAGTAAAATTCTGTCTTTGGAAAATGAAAATGTTGCAGAAACATGTAAAGATTCAAGAGAGTTACTTACAGGGACTGATGCAGTTACTTCTTGGTAAATTTAGTTTTAATTTTTAAAAGCATTTAAATTATTCTTTTTTCCTTAATAAGGTATATTTTTGTTAAACATGATTTTATAGTTGATTTATAGATTTTAATTATGTTAGGTATAATACTGTTTGCTCTCCATCTTATATTTTTGGTGTTGATTGGGTGCAAGAAAAATCTGCCCCTTTCACTCAGTTGGTATGGAAGGAATCAACTCTCTTGGGTATTGCTCGAACTAATTTTTATAAAAATAAAAAAAGGTGCAGTGTGGTTGTTGCAAAGTATTCAAAACGAAAAAATAAAACTGCATTTAAATCAAATGTGTTTCAAGGTGATTTTGACAAAAAGTCTTACTGTAATGGATTGGGAGCTGTTTACCCAGAGGTTGTGCAACAAAACAATGCTATAGTTGAAACAGTTCTTCCTAAACGTTTAGTACCACTTGATACACAAGGTATTGTATGTTTTCAGTAATGATGATGGTTTTTTATTTGTGTGTGTGTGCGTGTGTGTGTGTGTGTGTGTGTGTGTGTGTGTGTGTGTGTGTGTGTGTGTGTGTGTGTGTGTGTGTGTGTGTGTGTGTGTGTGTGTGAATACTTTCGTATTATCAAGTAAATTTTCATATACTTGAAAGAGAGTTTAAAAGATTAAAGAGATAAATCTAACAGATAAACTAGAGCCACATAGTTACTTGTAATACCAGGAATTATGTAAATACCACAATCATGTGTTTGTGTGCTACCATATTCTTTTGTTCATGTACTACCACAATCATTAAATAGTAAAAAACTAATTTAACTTTGATTTGTTTTCCATAAGTTATGGTTTATATTTATGTCTTAGATTATTTCAGTGATTGTTTAATAATTAAGATTTTATAAATAATTATAAACTTGTTCAAGTTTAAGTTATCATTATGTAAAATTGAATATATATATATATATATATATATATATATATATATATATATATATATATATATATATATATATATATATATATATATATATATATATATATATATATATGAACTTGTAGACTTTAGACAAGAAGCTTTAAGCTTGCACAACAAATTTCGAATGATTCATGGTTCACCTGCGATAAAACTTGATGAAGATTTATGCATAGAAGCAGAAATGTATGCTTCAATACTTGCCACGGAAGGAGTCTTGAAGCATAGCAATACCAAATACGGTGAAAATTATGCTAAAAGTTGTTCAAAAAATGAAACATTGACTGGAGATGAAACCGTTAGAACTTGGTTGGTTGGTATTTCATAAGTTTAAAAAAACAGCGTTTTTTCATAATTATTATTAATAAATAATTTAAAACATCAATTTTAGGTACAATGAAGTTTGTAATCCTGGATATATTTTTGCTCACGAACCGCCTAAAGCTGGTACCGAATCCTTTGCACAGATGATTTGGAAGGAAACTTCTAAAATGGGAATTGGGAGAGCAAATTCCGAAGAGAATGGCATGTATTGTACCTACGTAGTAAGTAGGTACAATAAACGAGTTATGCCTAATCAGCACAATAAAAATGTGTTAAAAGGAAAATTTGATTTTGGTTATTGTGAATCTTTGGGAAAACCATCCCATAAAACGAATATTCGTGATAAACCTGACGGGTTAAGACGCACAATAAACCAAAACATTATGCCCAGTCGGCGATATTTCAAGCATTATCAGCGACGATTCAGAGGTATAAAATATTCTGACGGAAATAATTTTTTAACCCTAAACAAAAGAGGGCACAAAAGTTTTGAACGACGTTAATTTGGAGTTGTTACTAAATTGAATGTTTTGGAATTTTTTAACATGATTAAATAATTTTTTCTGTTAGCTTTTTTTTTGTCAGTACCGTAATTTTTAAGCTTGGTACATTTTTTATTGTGTTGTTAACGTTAGTTACTTTAACGTTTATGTTTGTTACATTTTTTGCTGGTCTTACGTTTTTTGAATTTGGTACTGTAGTGTATACATTTGTTACGTTCGTTACTGGAATATTTACTGTGTAATGTTATATAGATGTTGTTGTCTGTAATGTTATTTGGATACTGTTTTGTTTTTATGTTTTCGTATTAGGTATATTTTTTTAATTCAAAACCTTGACACTATTTATGAATATTAAAAATATTTATAACTAATTTGTACATAAATTTAATATGACTAACAAAGTTTTAAAAAGTCACGTTTTTGATTTTACTTACTTACACCATATATACAGGTGCTTAATACAAAATGGGGTGGGAATAAAAGAGTGGGTAAAAATTTTCGTCCAGATCAAATAATCAGGAGAGGGTCTTAATAAATGGATCGATGGGAGTTTTTTTTTTGCATTTTCTAATTTTTAAGACCTGTTTACGCTGAAAGTTTTTTAGTTTTGAGATACAGTTTCTTGCTTGATAACAAGTAAAAACTTATACAATAAGCTCGGTGTGGGTAGGAAAATTGTAATTTTCTTGACAAACCCTACAAAATATTAAGTTTTTAATTTTTTGACAGAGTTCTATAATTCATTTTTATTTTGACTCTGTATTCCTTAATCAATATTATTGTTGCAATATTACTGTTGCAATATTATATGTTACATTATCCCGTATCATTATCTTTATATTTTATAATTACTGTTTGAGAATTGTGGTTTTGTTTTTATTTTCACACCTAATATTATTTATATAAAGTTTAATTTCTTTGACAGAAGTTTCAATGTGATTTTTTACGTTTTTGAGAAAACAAGAGTTATTATCGAGATACTTCTAGACAATTTTAATTTCCGGTGGTGGTATCCAGCCATTATTTCTATTTTCTTATATTTTTCATATAATAAATACCTTTGATGAATTACGAGCATAATAGATAAAAATCTAAAACGTATCGAAAAAAATTTTTTAATTTGAAAAAAATAATAATTGACTCACTCAGCAAAAAAATGTGAAAAAGTTAACGTCCCAAAAACATAAATATCTTAAGATCACATCAATATTAAAGGTTGAAATTTTTCAAAATGCTAGTATATTATTGTACCTTAAAAAAATTAAAATGGCAATAAAAAACTATTTTTAGCGATAAAACACTCATTCGATATGGTGATTGTAGGTTAAGTTTAATTTTTTTTTTTTTAATTTTATTTTAGATTTCGGCACTGAAAACTTTAATAATGAACATATCCTGAAAATTTGAAGCTAAAATAATACTTTTTTTTATTGAGATATCATTGTTTTTTTACAGCTACTCATAAAAAAAAACAAAAATTGAAAAAAATCAATTTTAAAATTATAAATCATGTATAAAATTCAGATAAATCATTAAAAACCACCAACACAATAATTGCAGTTTCTTTATCTAATTTTTGTTCAAAATGGTTTTTTCTAACAGACCTTAATTTTTGTTTTTTTGTTTCATCTGACATTTTTTTGTTCATATTTTTTAACTATAAGGAGTTTTTTTTTTACTTGCACCAATTTCAAAGTAACTAACAGTTTAATATTAAGAGCATCAATTACAGAAAATGACTTGGCGAAACCATCATTATAAGTAATAGTTGCAGAGTGAACAGCCATTTCAACAACAGATTTTTAAATTAAACAGGATTATTTAAAACACTTCAAACAATTTACAAAAATGCTGACTTATTGCACAAACCGCAAAATATTTTTAACTGTGGTGAAGTCAGGTTTGATTGTGATCTAATTTTAAAAATAGTCTTAGTTAGAAGAGGAGCAAAGCAACCACTTATTATTGGTGGCAATAATAAAAAAGTTTATTACACTGTCAGTAATTGCTGCAATGTGATTATTTGCCACTTTTTGTTATCTACAAAGTAAAACATTTTTGAGCTCAATGGGGTATTGGTGGACCTTCAGGTACGTACTACACTGTGTCCTCTTATGGTTGGGTGGAAGAGGATAAATTTGTACAATGGATTACTTCTATCTTCATTCCTTTTAAAAATACAAATTGTGAAGGTCGAGTAGTTTTAATAACTGATTGTAATTTAACTCATGTTTCTATAACAGCAATTCAACTTGAATTCATGTCGAAAGTATAATACTTACCTAGTAATTTTACCATACCATTCTTCAACATTTTTCCAACCACTCAATTCGAACGTTTAAAATCACATTAAAAAAGTGCGCAATTCTTCAACAACACTACAGAGAAACTGGTTTTAAAAATATTGATAAGCTGACGTTTCCTCTCTTGCTTTCAAAGTTACATTCATGAGAACAGGCTTTCAAAAGATCACATGCAGTCAGTGGTTTCGAAAATACAGGTTTCAATCCATTAAATAAAAATCCAGTTGGTAGAGAGAAACTCAAGCTTAGCACCGAAACTCCATCAACATCTTCACAAATAGCACCAGCAACTCATCAACGTCTTCACAAGCAGTACTAACAACTCCATCAGCAGCATTTCAACTACCATCATTCATCACTCCTCAATTAGTTCGAAAAGAAATACAATTGGCGAGCCAATAATTGAATTAACCAATAACCAATAATTAGTTCGAAAAAAAAATATAATTGGCTAGCCAACTAATTGAATTAATCAATTACCAATAATTAGTTCGAGAAGAAATCGAGTAATAGAAAGGAATCTCAAAAGGCACCTGCAAATAAGAAATGAAAATCAAAAGCCCAAAAAACGAGTCAAAGTTGTAGTCAAAGGTAAATACGTTACAGAATCATTGATTTTCGAACAAGTGAAGGTAGAAAAAGTAGAGTCAGAAGCTAAAAAACAAGCTAAAAACCAAAACCAATTACCGAAGCAAAGAAAACTGATGATTGGCAGTGAAGAAGATGACCACAGCGAAAACAGAAATTCAAATATAGTAGAGAATAAATGCAGTAAAGCAAAGTGTCAAAAGCAATTGCAATGCGAGAAAAGCTCTTGTCGAAAAAGGGTTTGTGAAAAATGTTGACCCAAAAAATATACAGTAGAGTTTTATTGCTCAGTAAAATTTAGAAAACAAAAAAGTTTTTGACTTTTATCTCGTATTATAATTTGTAAATTGATTTTTTTTTTTAAGTTTGCTTGATTATTTTAAAACTCTTTTTTTAGTCAGCTAAATCACCACCCTCTCCCCCTCCAAGACCGTCTTCACGGCTTTCAAAAAATCCTACATTTCTAAAAAAAAAAATTAAAAAAAAAAAAATTAAAAAATAGGCGGAGAGGGGAACATGCCCCGATACCTCTCGGTATCAATGGCCGTGCTCCCACTTATTAAATATCGTTAGATTTTTTTTATTTAACTGATTGTAAATGTGTTTTTAAGATTTATAATTTAAAATAAAAAATTTATGTTGTAAATAACATAGGTGGCGAAATTCTCCCAAATTAGATTTTATTGGGATAATTAACCCCTTTAATTTTTTTTTTTTTATTAAAAAAAAAAAAAAAATTAAAGTATGTGAAGTTTATAAAAATATTCTTTAAAAAACAAAAATTCGATTTACATTTTTAGTTCTAAAATTATTTAAATTGAAAGAATTAGTGGCGGTTTCAGATATATGGCGCACGAAATGTAATGCAAAATTTGTTAAACTCTGATCTGAAAAATGATTAGTATAAAAATCGTAAATTCTAAGTATAATTGGGATTAGTTAAATCGTTTTTCCACATGTATATAAAGCATAAAACATTATAAACATTGATTATGTAAATAATCAATGTAATAATAAGTATTTTCATCTCCTTGGTTTGGAATAAAAGTAAAACAATCCGCAAAATTATTCAAGCAGGTTGCATGCTACTGGCGGCATTCAATGCATTTTAACTTCTTTCTTGAGTGTGTGTCAGTGCTTTCCTAAGTTATATTACTTGCATAATTAATATAGACTTTTTTTGAAAAGTAAGATCTCGATTGGACTCCGTTACTTTTAGATATTTTTGAGCAATTATAGTCAATACGTGGTTTACGTGTAATGTTCTCGTAGAAAACAACTCCTAAATATTTTGCAACAAAATCCCTTTTTAATACAACTTCGTCAAAAAAAGTTTTGGGCAAAAAAAGTTTTGGGTACAAAGCGTTTTTTAGAGAGCGAATGGAAAAGAATCCATTTAGTTTTATTAATGTTAAGAGTTAATTTGTTACATTTGAACTAAGTAAATATGTTTTCAAGTTTATCATTCATTGTAGAAAAGAGTTTGAATATGTTATTATTAGTCAGGAATAAGTTGATGTCATCAGCAAACATGACACTCATTAGGTTTAAGGCTTTATTTAAGTCATTTATATAGACCAAGAACAAAAGCGACCCTAAGATAGAACCTTGAGGAACACCACAGAAAATATTTAAAAATACCTTTAGTTATCGTTATTATTGAAAACATTTTTTTTTTTTTTGCGATTTGATAAGTTACTTTGAAGCCATTTTATAGTTATATAGTTTTTCTGAGAGTATCAACAAGTCAATAAAAACACCTAAAGTGTATTGGGATCTTTAAAAGAAACTTGAGTTTTTTCGCACAAATTGGATAATTGCATGTTTTGTTGAACTATTTTTTTTAAAACCAATTTGATTATTTATAAAAGATTATAGGAAACAAAATAATTGTATTTTACATAATATGCTGATAATTGAAAAAGTTAAAATAATAATAGCTATAGGACAATAGTTACTGGTATTGTAACAGTCTCCTTCTTACAAAAAGAATAATTTTTGCAACTTTTAGTGATTTAGGAAAAACTTTTTGGTGGGCAGATGATTTATAAAGTTTAAAAATAATATTTTTAAGATAATCAAAACACTCGATAATTATGTCAACATTAATTCCATCAGCTCCAATAGCTATTGTTTGCGATTTAAAAGCAATTGCAGTTATTTATTAGTATTAAAAAATCTGTTGTCAAGGTAACCTTATTTGCTAATTTAGAATCAGTTTTGATTAAGAATTTATTAATTTCGTCAGATATAGCTTTTGATTTCTGAATACATTTGTTATCAACTATAATCATCTGGGGAGGGACCTAAACATATTTTTTGTTTGTTTTATGGTTGTTGTTATGGTTACGGTTGTTGTTTTTATTACTTTTTAACTGAACCTAAAGTTATTTTTAAGTTTGTAAAATATTTTAAATTAATAATTTTTTTTATACGTTTACGAATTTTTTAGAACAAATATTTATAATCTTTGTATATTTTCTTATTTTCAAATGACTTCGTTATAAGATATTTTATGTAAAACTTCTGTATTATTTTTGATGACTTTTTGAAACCCTTGGTAACCCATGGTAACCCAAGGGCTACTTATATATTTTATTTATAACTAAATGCATGATATTTTTATTTACGTCGATAGAAGCTCCACCAATTTATAATGAGGAATACAAATACATGTAGTAATATTAAGGTCATCAGAGGATAAAATGAGGAGGCGAATCATAAAATATTGTAATATTGAAATATTTATAATACTAAAAATATTTACAACAGTAAAAGAATGAGACTTTGCTGAGTGACTAATCGAGACTAATCAAGAACGAGTTTTGATCGATGGAATTAGAAACGATAGCTTCTTTAAGCAGCGGTATAGAGAAGCAACTTTAGATGATGCTAACTTTTCAATTGGTTGTATTTATGGTTTCCATTAGAGACCAGTAGTAAAAGATAATCAAAGAGAACGTAATAAAGAGGACTCAGTGAAAGGGTTTCATTAATTATTCCTGTACTAATTATTCATTAATACAGGAATGTCAAAAGCATTGTTTTTTGTAGTAAACAACTTTGTTTTGCTGGAGTTTAAAATTCACAAGCCACTGCATACCTCAATCTGTAACAGAAGTGAGACCAGGTTCAAAATTTTTTCAATAAAATATATTGATTTATATCAAGACAGGATGTCTGAGTGATTGAAAAGAGAAAACGTTTTTTCAAGACAGGAGTATAAAGTTGAGTTGTCAGCAAATAGAGTTACTTTAAATCTAAGGCTGTCAGAAAGATCATTAGTTTAGATAAGTAACAAAACAGGACCAAGGATAGAACTTTAAGGTCAGAATTTACTGGAAATGAAGAAGAGTGTTAGCCTTTGAGGATGACTTTAATAAAGTCGTTAGAAAGAAAATATTTAATAATCTCAAAAACTTTTTCAGATATATCATATGAAAGAAGTTTATGAAGAAGACCAGCATGCCAAACTTCATCGAAAGATTTAGATATGTGAAAAGCAATATCTCTTGCCTTGCCGCCTCATCTAATGCGCAATAAAAATTTTCAGTCACATCAGTTAGCAAATCAGCTGCAGAACGAAAAGATCAAAAACTGTATTGATTGTCCAATAGCTTTTTGTATGCGATTTAAAAGCAATTTATATATGTAAAAAGCATAGATATATAAAAGAGATATGTAAAAACATTAGATATGTAAAAGAAAAATTAATTAATTTAAAATTAGATCGTTAGGAAAAATTTAGAACTAGATCGTTAAGAAAAATTTACAATTAGATTGTTAAAAACGTTACTCAATAAGAAATAAATAAAAGATAAAACTAACACCTTTTTGTTAATATAAAAAGAACGCGGAGACTCGCAGAAGACCATTAGGTCTTGTCACCAAGAACCGCTTGTAAATTAAAATTTCATAAAACTCAATATATATATATAAAGTCAAGTGCATATATAGTTAATCACATTTAAGTGCATGTTCTTATAAATATTCAACTGAATAAACTAAAATAATACATCAAATTAATAACGTTTAAAAATATGACAATATATCATCATGAGACAAAATGATTTCTTTAAGCTTATTTCTGAATGAAAAATAACTCCATTGCTGAGAAAAATTAAAATATTTTAAAACTATTTTGTACCAAAGCAAATTATATGGTGTTACAATTAAAAAAATTCCAATACCAGTATAATTAAAATAAGAAAGACAATCACATATATAAATATAAGCAAATACACTTACAGATGTATAGATGCGCACATATATAAATTGCTAACAATTAAATATAAGCTTAACAATTATTACTTTTCAATTATACTTAAGCTTAATCAAAATCAATTCTTAATCTTAATCAAAACCAATTTTAAAAAATTCTGAAAAATATTTTGTTACAATTTTTTTCTATTACTATAATAGTTATCCTTATTTTTTGTTTGTTTTTCTTTTCTCTTTTATTATTACCTATATATGATTTTTAAAAAGTTTATTTAATGTTTTATGTCTATATGTTTTTTATTAGTCATATTATTTTGAAAAATGGTGTCACTCCTTTAATCAGACTTCTGTATGAGTGACACCATCCATACTAATCATTAACTTATTATAATAAGAAATAACATATCATTTTACTTATTATTATAGTAATTATTATTATTTATAATTTTTTTTGTTGTTATTATTATTATTATTGTTATAAATTATTACTATTGCTTATTATTTTATAATTATTGTTATTATTATTTACCTTATTATTGTAAAAATGATTTTAAAATGGAAAATAAATAGCTTGTTGTTATTGTTGTTGTTGTTGTTGTTGTTGCTAGGATCTGAAAGAAGATTACAAGATCTTGTCGTCAGAACTTTATTAAATACAAACAAGAAAAATAAAGTCAAGTATAACATACAAAAAATAAAGTAAAATTGAAAAATAAAAAAGTAATAAAACCCAAGTCAAATCCCAATTTTCAAAATATTAGAAGTATCTAAGTATATTATCAAGTGAAAAAATAAGTTTTTTTAGATAGAGCTTGAAAAGATAAAAGGAAGTTGGTTGATCAAGATTTTGCAGGACAATATTATTCCATAAGTGGGGTCCACGATAAGCAATGCAAAATTGATTAAATTTTGTGTAACTAAACGGCTCATTTATAAAATTTATGTTTCTCATATCGTATTTTTGTTAGATTTGAGTTTGAAAATATTATTAAAAGCGGTAGGGGATAAATTATTTCCTCTTTGACCATACTTTGACCATATATGGACACATTAGATTTGAGAGGAGAGTCTTCAAATAGCGCACGAAAACGTGTGGAGGAATGGGGGTGGTGAGTAGTAAGAGATCAATATAAAAGTGCGTACGCAATATTAAAAAAAACTTAGTAATGTTTGTTTTTCTAATCTATTACAAGTACTTGTTAACAACCAAGTGTTTTTGAATAAAAAACAACTTTAAAAAAACAAAAACATGTTGTCTCATCTTTGTCAATAATTTTCTAGTTAACCAATAGAAAGTTTAGTTTTTTGACTAAAGATTATAGATTGTTAAGATAAAAAAGATGTATGGTGTAGTTGAGGGCAGGTATAGTGTCCCTCTATGCACATTCATTCCACCCTTATACACTGGATCTGTGTACACAGACTTAGGCCTGCCTTACACGTGTAAGGTGGAAATGTAAATCAGGAAATCCTTTTTTTGTGTCCGCATAAATCATCAGGTTTTTGGCTTCAATATTACTCCTCTCGCTTAAAATCGTTTTTTACGGACTTACTAGAGATGCCGATGAAAAATAACCGCTCTAAGTAAAGTTTATTTTGATTTGATTTTTTTAAAAACAAAAAACAAAAAAATTCCTTTTTCAAAAAGGTGCTTAAACCAAGAGCTTTGGCAAGCTGTAGGCAAGGGTTAAAATAGAATAAAAAATCAAGTGGAAAAGTTTTAAAAAGTTCAAATTGTTTGTTCAAAGGGATGCAGAATAGTCTATTCAGGTGCGGAATCATTTCTTCAAATTTTGCTGAAGGTGTATTTTTGCTGTATTGCTGTATTTTGCTGTATTTTTGCTGTATCTCGTGTAATGCTTAAAACTACTTAATATTATTAAAAAATGTCAGCAAAAATTAAAATTAAATCTTCAATAAAAAAATTTTCAATATCTTCAAATCTTCAACAAAATTCAATAAAAATCCGTGTGCAAAGTGAAAACGATCTACTACTTTAGGGAGATAAATTTAGGTGTTAATTATGGGCAATCCCATTGTAAAAAAAACAACAACTCAAAAACGAGGTGGAACAGTTGCAAACAAATATAGTGCCAAGCGGAACGATTTCTTGATTTGTCGGCTAAAGAGGAACGACGTATCCCTGCGTTCCCCCGACGGTTTCTTATACAATTTTTCCTAAATTAAAAATATTATTGAAAAAAGGTGAGGGGGGGAGGAGGGTATTTCAAAAACCAACGTATGGACCGCTTAGTTTGTAGTTTTCGGATATAAAGCTGTCTTTGCCTTTTAGCTTGAAAGAATTTTTGAGAACTTCTATTCATTTTTATCCAACGTAGAAAAAAAGTCTGAATTAGCAAAAATGTAACAACTTATTTCGGCTTTGTTACGGCACCCTCCTATACGACTACAATTCAGAACAATTCTCGTCCGGCTTTTAATACATTTTAAAATGCTTTTATTATCATTATTACTTTTTAAATTTCTCTCTTTTTACTTAGTATTGAGTCCACGTTAGTTTTGAGTTTCACGTCAGCCATCTTTTTCTATCCTCTATTTCACCTTGAACTTACCACGTTTAAAGTTTACCACGCTAATATATACACCATCACTTTATTTTTGTGCTGATAAGACTACTCAGGGATTTTCTGTTGTGTATAGTTTTTGAATGAATAAAAGCTGTTTGTCTTTATTTTTAAAGCAATTTTTTAACCATATGCTTGGTTCATAAATTAATGCTGTTGGGCTTTGTTTTTCAATATAAATACTTTGTTTCAAATATAACTGCAAAATATTTGTTACGTAGTTTTAGTATTAAAACTTTCCAATCACTTCGTTGTTCAAAGGAAATGACTTCAAAAACTGCTAAGCAAGTGAGACAAGATTTTATTGATTTTTTTGTCAAAAAATATGATCACATATTTGTACCTTCATCGTCAACAATTCCACATGAAGATCCTACTCTTCTTTTTGCTAATGCTGGTATGAATCAGGTAAAGAGGATACGTGTAATAATGATCAATACGTAGTCATAAACTCAATTAATTATTATTTTTCAGAACAAAATAAAATATTTATAACTTAGTATTGTTTTATTTGTTTTGTTTTGTTTGTTAGTGATGTTTCATTTGTTTAGTATTGTTAATGATGTTTTTACATTTAAATTAGTAAGTAAGTTTTTTTTTTTTTTTAGAATGGTATACAATTCTAATGGAACTTATTTTTAATTAATAATGCAACTTTTTCCAAAATAATTTTATTTTTTGTATTTTCTAATAAATTAAATGGTTGTCTAGTAAATAAAAAAAAAAGTATCTTGTTGCTAAGTTTATTTATTTTTTTAACAAAAGCTAAATTTATATTGCAAAAGAATTAAAAAAAAAAGACATTAGGAAAAATAAGCATAAAACATCACTTTCTTAAAACAGAATTTAAGCTATTTGCACTTTTTGCCTTTTCTAAAAGAGCCGTACTTTTTTAGAAAAAACAAAACAAAGAATAATGAAAGAAAATATTGCTGCCCTTTGCCAAACCCTCAGTCGATATAGTGGCACTTCTTTGCGGCAGTAAGTTATAAAATAGTCTATATATGAACTAAAGCCCAAATTGTATTTAGATGCCGATTTGGGCGCCGCCCAAGTTCAGAAGTTGAGGACCTTGTCTGTTCCTTTTTCCTATGGCAAATTTTTTTTTCACAAAAAAAATGCCTACTGCAATTATTCTTATGGCTGGTATTAACGAAGGGGTATCGCTGGCTAAGTTTTTTTTCTATAATAGCCTGATAATTGATTTATTAAAATGACTTTCTACCTCTACTTTCTTCTACTTCATGGCATTTTTCTTTATCAATAATTTCTTCCTTTATAGTTCTTAATTTTTTTCTTTTGTTTTTTTATATTTTACACATATATTTTTCTTTCCAATCAATCTATTCAGTAAAAGGATGTGACTTGCTGAATGACAAGTCAAGCAAGAATAAGTTGCAGCCATATAACGATGGGAGAGTGGCTTGGTCCAACTACGTTTGCAATGCATTTTGGGACCTTGTTTAAAAGAGTAAGAGCATTGTTAGAAGGACCAGCCCAAATGGACCAACAGCATTTCATACAGGGAAGTAATATAACAACAGCATACAGGGAAGAATAAGAGATATGTAGAGGTAATAGAATCAGGAATAAGATAATAACGTGCACAATAAAGAGAAGCAAACTTTAGCAGATGCCAACTTTGCAATCAATTGTATATTTATTTATGCTTTCCATGAGAGGTCAATAGTGAATGATAATCCAAAAAGATATAAAACAGAGGACTCTGTTGAGTGTTGTTTATCAATTTAAGAACATTGACAGTATTGTGATAGTTGTTTGCAGCAAATAACTTAGTTTTGTTGGAGTTAAAATTCATAAGCTACTGCAAGCCCCAGACTGTTACAGAAGTTAGATCAGATTCAAGATTTTGTACAGAAACTGTTGAAGATGTGAGATCAGATTCAAAATCACATGTCTGTTTTAAGCATTCTTAAAGACAAGGGATTTTGATAAGGCAGGAGTATAAAGTTGAGTCGTCAGCAAATAGAGCCACTTTAGATGTAAGGTTGTCCGAAAAATCATTAATGTAGATTGGAAACAAAACAAGACCAAGGATAATCCTTTTAGGTACCCAATAAATTACTAGAAATGGAGAAGACTTTAATATAGTGGTTAAAAAGAAATTAATTGATAATCTCAAAAGTTTTCCCAGATACACCAAATATGAAATAAGCTTATGTTCATAAATAAGCCAAACTTTTTTAAAAGCTTTAGATAGAGAGCACTAACCCTTGTCTTACTGTTTTCTTCTTATGCATCTTTCAGTCACAGCATTTGGCAAGTCAGTTATAGAAGAGTAGAAGCTGTAGAAGAGTATAATTGAGACACAACTTGAGCAACGGAAGCCAGACTGATTTGGATGTAGTTAATAAGTTTAATTGTAAGAGCAGGGAGACGGCCATTGGATTCAAGCCTCAAATTAAAAAAAAAGTTCTTTGCAAATACTCATCAATCACACTAGGGTAATTCCACATCAAATCACCTAAATTTTTCAAGATTTTGAACCATAGGTCTCATATTTTCTTTAAACTTCTTTAGCTGTTGCATTTCATATAGAAAAGTTCACATGCAAAATTTTAGCCAAAAATGTTCAGCCGTTCACAAGATATCAAGGTTTTAATATAGACCTGGTTTCCCAAAATGACCTGGTTTCTGTGTCATTTTAAAAAAACGTTTGCTCTAATAAAATGAAAAATAATGAAAATAAAAATATGAAAATTAGCATTTATAATGCTTTTCTAATGCAGAATTCAAAAAATGCACTTAGAATGCTGAAATATGAGCAGAACATGCTTTAAAATTAAAAACACACCTAATTTATATATTCAAACTTAGGGGTCATATATCTCAAAACACCCCCGTCTAGATTTTTTTTTTTTTGCTTTTAATATTTTTAGCTACTTATTATCTTACTAGGCACAAAAAACCTAACTGGAAAAACAACTAAAACATATAGAACCATAGTTTCCAAGATACACCACTTTTATGGGTGCCCATAGCAATTTTCTAACGAGGGGGAGGGGTGAGGGAACAACAAAATATTTTTAGTGATGTTCTAATTTAGTTCAATTTACCAAGAATACTTAAAAAAAAGCATATTGCAAAAGATATGGTGAAAACAACTTTTTTTTATTACAGTTAGAGGGGAGGAGAATAGTGTTTCAATAACACCTGGCATTGCCATATCTCTGTCATTTAAACCATTTAGCCAATAAAACATATCAAACTACTTTGCATGAACAGTAGTTACTTAGTAGTGATAAGTTGTAGATGATAAGTTGAGACATCATTGTTAACTCTTATCAAGCTCCAATTATCCTACAGCCAAAGATTTGGAAATATCTAATACTATATCATTATTTAATATATTTAAAACTAGAGCTTTTTTTTTTACTGAAAACTAAGTAGGAAAGTTCTTTTTTTTTTTGTATCCTTCGAATTGCTTTTTTCTTACTGCAAAAGCATTCAATACACTTCATTGCAAACTAATTAAAAAATTAAAAGGGTATGGCATCACTTAAAAGCTGCTAAAAATCTTCCTAAAGATAGTACATGTGTAGCAAATTATAGAATTCTGTAAAGAATTAATTTTGGTTAATAGACTTTTTATATATTTAAGGAAGTCTTAATTATATGATAACTTAATTATATGAACTTAACAACTGAAAAAACATCCGGTTTTGTTTTTATATAAAAACATTTTATAAAAAATAATTGTTATGTTAATATGATATTTTTTTTAATTTTGACAACTATAGTTTGTAAAAGTTTATTAAAAATGAGTTTATAAAAGTTTAGTTTATAAAAGTTCAGATATAGAACAACATTTATTGGTAAGATTATATTTAAATTTTAAAAAATTAATAATTTAAATAATATAATTATTTAAAAACTTCTTTTTTTACAACATTTATTATTAATATTAATAATAATAATATTAAGAACAACATTTATTAAAAATTATATTTATTAAAAAACTTTTTTTACATACAATTAAGTAGAAGAATTTTATTTTTATTTTTAGGAAATACTTTCATACTAAATAATTTATCTTATTAAGATGTGTTCTATTGGGTTAATGACATCAGATGCTTGCGAAGGCCAACAAGATGTTATTGAAACTTTAAGCAATGAAGAAAAAATAATTATATCTTTACGCTGTAATATTGAATTATCAAACTTAGAAATATTATGTGAAAGACATAATACAAAATATTTGAAAATGTATCCTATATGGCAGAAAGCTTGTTGTGATCCATTCAATAGACATACAAAGAAAATCACAAGTATGTAGCTGTAAAATTTAAATATTTCATTAATTTATGTTTTTCAAAAAATAAACAAAAGTTTTGAACTAATGTGCAGACATACTTTATACAATTCAATTACTTTTAGAAAATCTTGGCGTAGTTACAATAAAAGAGTCACAAGTCATGATGAGAAATTGTTTGAATATTCCTCCTGGGAAGAAACTTTGCAAACCTTGTAAACAAAAGATTGCCAGAAAAAAAGAACTTACAGAAGAGGAGCAAAGTAAGAGTGAACAAGATGAGGATTTTCTAATATCACCATGCAAAAAAATAAGACAGGAGATCAATAAAGAACTCAAAAATTTTAGTTTATCTCCTCTAAAATCTCATTCAAAATCATTAAAACATATACTGTCAGAAGGAAAGCAAAAAGTTGCATGCATCAACGAAATGGCGTATAACGCTACTAGAAAAATTGAAACTCAATTTTCCTCAAAACTATGTTATGAAACCAATGGGATGAAAAAGAAGGCTGCAAACTTTGATGAAATTATGAGCTTGGTAAAAGAAAAAATTCTATGTTCTGACAAACGAACTATTGTTCAACTTCTAACACTGGCACCCCCAAGTTGGTCAATATTAGAAGTACAAAATAACTTTTCGGTTACAGAATACCAGGCCAAGAAGGCTAGAAAAATTTTTAATAAAAAAGGATTGTTAGGTATCTCTCCATTGTATAAGGGTAAAGTCTTACATAAAGAAATAGAAGATTCAGTTAAATTGTTTTATGACTCAAGTGATTTATGTCGAACTATGCCTGGAAAAAAAGATTATGTCAGCATTCAAAAGAACGTCCACAAACAAAAAAAACTGCTTTTGTGTAATTTAAAGGAACTATATGTATTATACAAAGAAAACAATCCAGAAATACAAATAAGTTACTCAAAATTTGCTTCACTTAGACCAAAGTGGTGCATTTTGCCAGGTGCAAGTGGTACACATTCTGTTTGTGTTTGTTCTTATCACCAAAATGCCATTTTGCTAGTGGATGCCTTAAATATTGAACTAACGTATAAGGATTTACTTTTGAAAACTGTTTGCTCAGTAGAAAACAAAGAATGCATGCTTGCACAGTGTGATAATTGTCCTGGTAAAGAACTGCTCACCATGTATTTGTATGAGATTTTTGGAGAATACGAAGATGATTTTGAGATACACTACAAACAATGGCAAACTACTGATCGTGCAACACTATTGAGTTTAACAACAGATGTTCCAACGTTTATTGAACTATTGGTATCTTGTTTTGAAAAGCTACAATCTCATTCTTATATTGCCAAATCTCAATCACAATACCTTAATCAACTAAAAGAAAATATGGATCAATCAAACATTATCATTCTTGGCGACTTTGCTGAAAATTATGCTTTTGTAGTCCAAGATGAAATACAGAGCTATCACTGGAACACCCAACAATGTTCTTTACATCCATTAGTGATATACTATAAAGAAGAAAATGGTGTAGTGAAACATATTTCTTACTGTTTTATATCAGACGACATTATACACGATGTAACTTATGTATACAAGATATTTCAACTAATTATACCAATATTAAAAACAAAATTTCTTGATTTATCCAAATTGCATTTATTCACTGATGGTTGTGCAGGACAGTACAAAAATTGTAAAAGCTTTTACAATCTATGCCAACTAGAGACAGAATTTTCCCTCAAAATTGAATGGAACTTTTTTGCCACGTCCCACGGAAAGTCACCATGCGATGGAATTGGTGGTACTGTAAAAAGGTTAACAGCACAAGAAAGTTTAAAACGACCATACAGAAACCAAATTCTCACATCAGAGGCTATGTATGAATTTTGTGTTGAGAAAATTAAGGCTGTTAACTTCATTTACATAAAGGGATTGGACTTACAATTGCAACGTGAAAAGCAAAAAGAAAGGTACACTGATGTAACAACTCTACCAGGTACTCGTAGCTTTCATCAATTTATACATCTTGGAGATAATAGGGTTGGGGCGAAGAGGTGTAGTACAGACACTAAATATACAATAATTCACAATCTTAAAAAGAAACATATATTTGAACCTGATACTGTCACTTTAGGAGGTTATGTTGCGGTAGTTTATGATGATAAGTGGTGGATCGGCATTGTAACTGAAATCAACCTAGAAGAAGTTGATGCTGAAGTTAAGTTTCTCCACCCAAGAGGTCCATCAATCTATTTTAACTGGCCTGAAAGAGACGACCACTGTTTTATTCCTAACATCAATATATTGAAAAAACTATCTGTTCCACAAGCTTGCTCTAGTTCTGGTAGAAACTATGTGTTTGAAAATGTTGAAATAGAAGAAGTGCAAGTAAAATGGCAACAATATTGTGAACTATTACAAATACAGTCAAAATAACTTGCACATTCGATACCTTTAAAAATCTTGTATATTTAAGTAACTTTGTAAATTAGGAATAATTTATTTTAATTGAATTTATAAATATTTTTTAGGAATTTCTTAAAAAAGTTATACATCTTTAAAATTAAAGTTCTATATGTTTCAGTTTTTTTTCCAGTTAGATTTTTTGTGCCTAGTAAGATTATAACTAGCTTAAAATATTGAAAGCAAAAAAAAAAAAAATTTGACGGGGGTGTTTTGAGATATTGGGCCCTAAAGTTAGATTATATAAACTAGTTGATTTATTAATTTTTAAGGATGTTCCTCTAACATTTCAGCATTTTAAGTACATTTATTGAATTCAGCATTAAAAAACCATTATAAATGTATATTTTTATATTTTTGCCATTTTTATTTCTTATTTTATTGAGGAAAACAACTTTTCAGAATGTTATGAAAACCGGGTCATTTTGAGAAACCAGGTCCAAATTAAATTTGCTGTATCTTGTCAACCGCTTGACATTTTTAGCTGAAATTTTGCATGCAATATTTTTTTATAAATAGGAATCATGTGTCAAAATTTAAAACAAAAAGAAGACACATGGTTCAATGGAGTGGGTGATTTGATGTGGAATTACCCACTACTTCTTTTACATCAAACCACACTAAATCTTTCAATAGTGACTTCAAGGTTCACAAATGAGTTTTTTTTTATAGTTAATTTTTCTTGAACTTGTCTGAATGAATATTGCATCAGATGTTCTTTTTCCTGGCCTGTTAAAACCAAACTGTAGGTTATAAGTAAGCTGTTCTTTTTATCTAAAATCTTCATTACCTAATACAAGAACTTTTTTAGAACAAATTCACTTTGTTTTTGTCTCAATTTTGTTTGTATATAGCCCTGTTAATGTTATTGTTTTACTTTCTACCTTTTTTTCTGACTTGATTTCTGCTCTTGCTTGAATTTCTTTTCAAAATGGTTGCATACTACAAATTCTCTCAATTCCAAAATCTGTACATGGATTCTGACAGTCAAATATCCAATTTTGGATGTTCAAACACCCAATATTGGATGTTTGTGGAAAAGGAAAAAATGTGGATGTTTTTTTATGTAGAAGAAAACTGTATATTGTTGAAAGAATAATTAATCAAGTTTAGTATAAAAAATGTTTTGGAAAAAAATTGCTGCAGTAAAATAGTTTAGTTCATATAAAAAAAGATTATTTACATAACATGGGGTAACATGGGTTAACAAGCTGTATGGCTAATTTTTTATGTTTCATGTTTATGTTTATTATGTTATTTACAGGGCTGTGGAGTCGAAGTTGCGGAGTTCTGACATTTTCAGCGGAGTCAGAGTCGCCAAACAAAATCGCGACTCCTACTCCAATAGTAAAACTTCTTAGTATTGCACGTGCATGTACTAAACATTCAATTAACCTTATGTTCAAACTAAACCTCAAAGAACGTTTCATAAATTTGTTAAAAAATAATTTTTTAACTTATTTCGTAATATTTTTTAAAGAATTTTGCTTTTCAAAAATTTTGCTTTGAATTTGGAGTCGGAGTTCGAGTCGGAGTTGTACTCAAAAAACTTCAATTACTGGAGTCGGAGCCGTTACTTTTTTTTTACGACTCCACACCTCTGGTTATTTATTGTTATTTATTATGTACATTTTTTTTTGTTATAATTATGTTATTTATGTTTTTGTTGTCATTATTATGCTAATTTTTTATGTTTCATGTTCATTTTTTATGTTTCAAATTTATATGTTTCATTGTTAGATTTTACTACAAATTTTACAGATCTTAATACAGTAGAGAACATTTAAGAGCTTTCTGTTATTTAACAAATTTATCTATTGATATTAAAAACTTTTTTCTGTGTATTCTGATACATTTTTTTTTTAGTTCAAGTCATTATTCCTTGGTACTGCTGACCCAAATAGTGATTTTGCAAAGTTAAAACGAGTAGTTAACTCTCAAAAGTGCATTAGAGCTGGTGGAAAACACAATGATCTTGATGATGTTGGGAAAGATGTGTATCACCATACTTTTTTTGAAATGATGGGAAACTGGTCTTTTGGGGATTTCTTTAAGGTAAAAAATATTGGTACTAATTTATTGTAATAATCATTAATGTATTATAAAAAAATTATAGATTGTGTTTTTGTTTTATCTTTAGCATATTTAAGATTTTTTGAATATATGTATATATCAGGCTTGGTCCGAAAGCGGGAGCGATCGCTCTCGAATACTGACCATGGAAATGATATTTAGTTGCGAAAAACTGGCCAGGTTTTTTAGTCGTTTTGAAAACATTTAAGTATATGTATGTAACAAAATTTTTGTTTTACGGACATACATGGAACATACATAAACTTGAATGTTCTCAAAACATCGGAAGAATAAAAAGAATATTTGAAGAATAAAAAGAATATTTGCGAACACTAAAAACTCACCAAATCTATGAACAAACTAATTCTATTAGTTCAAAAAATACGCTGACTAAGCAAAATAAAGTTTTAGAGTATTCTGTTGAAATGTTTTAAAAATTGTATTATTCAAGATTTGTTACTTTTTAAGATTTCTAGCATAAATTGTTTTAAGGATATATTATCAAACCAATTTTAATACTATGGCTCATTCTCGGAGCCACATTTTTTAAATGCCACATCTATGGCTCATTCTCGGAGCCACATCTTTTAAATGCCGTAAATCTTTTAAACTATTATTATTTGTTTACAAAAATAAATGTTTTAAATATACATTTTTTAAATTGTTAAAATTTTGAAAGTTTATTATAAATTATAGATTTTATTAGTGTATTCTTATTTTTTATTTAAAAAGTATGTATTTCTCATGTAAATGTAATTTGTGTATCTGTCTTTTATTCTAATGTAATCTTTTAAAGCAATTTTTATGATTTACTTTGTAAAAATAGACTTTCAACAAAAATTGCATTTTCAATGAAGATATTAATAATCATTAAAGTTAATAAAACTAATTATGTAACTAACATATAAGAAATTTCTGGTTACTAAACACAAACAATACAGTTATTAATAATCATCAAGTTATTAGAAATAAAGAAAAGCTTTTAGATATTGGTTTACTAACTTTAATTATAATCGCTTTATTTGCCATTCTTAAAAACTCGTTATACTTTTTTCTGCTTTAAATACTAATTAAAATTTAAAAGTCCACTCACTAAGCATCAGCGATATTGTGAAGCAGTTTAGCTTCCTTGTCATTAAGTATTTTCAACCTTTTTAGTTGATTTTTATTTAGTTAATTTAATTTCTATAGTAATTCAATGATTTAATTATTTCATTTGTTCATCTTACTAAGAAGAATTGTTTCAAATATGTTAAACTTTTTAAACTACGTGAAACATAAAAAAGTTATTTAAAAAATTAACTTTTTCATTTATAAAATAATTTAGTTTAAATAAAACCAAAACTTGCAAACTTTGCTAAATAAAGAACATTTGTTTCCTTTTTAAACGATTGTAAGATGTTACTTTATATAAAAAAAATCGCTTAATTTTATAAAAAAATTATAAAAGAGCAATGTTTTGAAAATATTTGTTCTAAACTTTATTATTTTTGTAATTTATTTTGATTTAAATTTTTTTGCCTTAAAAGATATCTTATTATCCTAATTTTTTTTTTAATTTTTTTTATTTTTCCTTTTGTAATTGTCTCTCATCGATCCAATTATTCTTTAGCGCTTTTTTTTTTGCTTTTTGAAATGTTATTAAAACGACTAAAAAATCTGGCCAGTTTTTTGCAACTAAATATTATTTCCGTGGTCAATAATCAAGAGCGATCACTCCCGCTTCCCGACCAAGCCTTATATATAGCCTTATATATATATATATATATATATGTATGTATGTATGTAATACGTATATGTATGGAATTTTATTTACGTGAATGTGAGGATCTGTGAGAAAAGTCATTTCTGAACTGCAAATTTATAAAATTTTAGATAAAAAACTTCAATGTTACTATTAATAATTTTTATAACTTCTTTTTATTAACTAGAATGATAGCTTCTTATCAACTTCTAAGGATATGTACTTTGAAAGCACAACTCTGATATATGGAGGGCAGCAAAGAATGTTTTTTTAAACAAAACTCATGAACTTATCTGTAAAAGATATTTGCTCAATATCGGTTTATTTACTTATTTGCTGTATTAAGAGAAACTGTTTGAATTATGCATTATTATGTGGTGTTTGAATTTATGCTCTGATATAAGTTTTATGATTCAATGGTGGAATTAAATTTGGTTGAAGCATTTTTATTCTTAACTTAAATATGAAAGAACCAACATTTCTGATAAACTTGTTGTTTTCAAAAAAAAAAATTTGATTCTAGACCTAATACCGTAGATTTCCCTAATTCTGAACAGTCCCTAATTTAGAACAGCTTTAGTTCACTTATTGTTACATTTTTTATTTTTGTGGAATTTTTAAAAGGAAAATTGATTAATAAATTGAAAGACTAGGGTAATACGAAAATACGAAAAAATATTTTTAAAATATATATTGATACCATGAAATTTTTTTAATTGCAAGTAAAACTTTTTAAAACCCTGAAAACAATAGTTTTTTAATGACTTTATTTTAGAAACTAATAAACGCTTTTAATTTTTTTATTGAATTTTTAAACGTCTTGTTTATCTTAATCTATGTTAATTTAAAAAAATGAAGATTGCGAAAGAAAAATTAAACTCTGTATTGAGGCTATCAATAATAAAAAGATGTCATATTAAGATGCCGTTTTATGTTATAACATTTCTAAAACAACTATTTTTTGCATATTTAAAGGAATAAATGGAGGTGTTGGTGTTGGTAGGCCCAGAGCAATAAGCCAAGTAACGGAGAGGCTTATAGTTGAACTTGTGTAGTTTATGAGTGGCGTTGGCTTCAGCTTAAAATGATGTTTTAACTCTGGTTGAAAACTATTTGAAGGAATCTAAACAAACTCTTTTATTTAAGACCGGCAAACCTACTCAAAATTGGTACATTAGTTTCATGCAAACAAACTTCAAGTATCTAAAATTCTACTTTTAGACGGCCATCTACGCTATTGTTGTCAGATATGAGGACAAAGTTTATCCATTTATAAAAAATAGCTTTATTAATGTCCAGAATAAGTTATTAAGAATCCACTTTTAACCTAACAGTTTTAGTTACATGCTATTTAATCTTTCTAAAATTCTGAAATACTATAAAATAAAATAAAAATCTGACATATAATCTTTCTAAACTTTTAAAGCTTGATGAACTTATATACTTATCAAACTGTGTACTTGTATGGGACATTATCCACAATAATATGCCCAGTTACTACTTCACTACCTAACTACTTCATTATTTTAAATTCACAAATGATATTCATAGTTATAAACTTAGGTCTGTATCTTATTGTAGTACTCTATTTATGCTTTTAAAACAAACACATAAGTATAGCATTAGGTCAATCAAGTATTAATCCATTCACTGTAGGAACTCCTTTATATGGGTTACCTTTTTATATGGATTGAAATGTCTTCATATCCCATTTTAAAAAGTTTATATTCAATACAAATAATCATTTTTATGTGTATTTTTTTTTTTTTAATTTTTTTAATTGTTTTTAAATCTTTTTTTTTTTTTTTGGTTGCAACAACTGTGCTTTTAAAAAAGCGTTGCAATTTATTAGGCAATTATTGATTTATTTGTAAAAATGACTTTGTGTTTTTCTTTTTAGTTACATCAATAATGCTTTTCTTTTATAAACAACTTTGCTAACTTTTATAAACAACTGTTCTAAATTTTATAAACAACTTTTCTTTTATAAACAAATTTGCTAACTTTTATAAACAACTTTGCTAACTTTTATTGTCGTTAATGTTATATGCCACGGTATTTTATACCAAGAATTAAAAAAACTCTCTGCATTGCATTTCTATATTTAAAAAGAAAAGCAAAATTGCTTTTTTTTTAAATGATTTTAATATAACTTTGTATTAGAATTATGTAATATTTTAAATTAACATTTATAATACTAAAATTCTGCTCTACTAAAAAACAAACAAATATTGCAGTATAAAATAACTTATATAGTTGACAAGTTGTTAGCAATTTGTATAGTTAAAATGTAATCTCAAACCTTACCAAAAAAATCAGTTACGCAAAAAAAAAAAAATTAATACATTTTGTAATCAAAAAAAGTCAATATCAAAACTCAAACTTTGTGTTTTTTTTATATGAATTTTTTTTATACAAAAAACTTAAACTTTTGTGAAAGCTGTAAATTGCTCTTGTAAACCACTTTAAGGAAATGCAGGCGTGAGCGAGAGCTCACACCCACATTTCCTAAAAAATGGTTAAAGTCAAATTATAAATTAAATATCTAAAATGTCACTTCAAAGAAGCCGCTGTAGTGCAGTGGTTAGAGCGCTTGCTTTAAAAGCAGGAGATCCAGGTTCAAAACGAACTCTGGACATATTTTTGCGTCAGGGTAAGAAAGGAGGCGTGAACTTCCTATTTAAATGCACTTCTGTGGTGCTCTGTGACAAGACTTCTTGGGGCACCTAAATAACAAAATGAAAAAAATAAAAAATATATGTGTATCTTTTTTACAGTTTTAGGCTATTTTTATTATCAAGAAGAGAAAAAAATTCAAAAGGAATATTAATTATAAAACTAATGTTGATTTTTTGCTAATTTTTCTTTTCTTACTTTCAAAAGAAAATATTTTCAAGATTATTATTGTTATTTTTTTTTTTGGTAGGGATATATACTTAATTCATATAGTCTTTATGTATATCATATGTTTGATATACATATAATACTTTATGTTTCAGTTTATATTTATTAGGTTTATTTAATTTTGAATTTTAGAAGGAAATAATTGCTTGGTCATGGGAGCTTTTAACAGATGTTTGGGGTCTGGAAAAAGAACGTTTTTACGTTACATATTTTGGTGGAGCTGATGGAGTGCCTGCAGATGAAGAGGCCAAGCAGTTCTGGCTCGAACTGGGGTAATTATTTATCCATGTTATAATAATAAAATTTAAGAAAAAATAAAAAAATGAATATATAGTGAAAAAAAATATGAAATAAATTTTCAACAATATTAAAGTTTATTTTATGGTGTTTTAAGTTTACCACCCAATCATGTTTTACCGTTTGGAATGAAGGAAAATTTTTGGGAAATGGGAGAAACAGGTCCATGTGGTCCTTGTTCAGAGCTTCATTATGATCGTATTGGTGGAAGAGATGCCTCAAATTTAGTTAACATGGATGTCCCTGATGTTTTGGAAGTATGGAACTTGGTGTTTATACAATTTAACAGGTATTTGTAAGATGACTAATTTTACTCTCAAATAGTTTATATATATATATATATATATATATATACATATATATATATATATATATATATATATATATATATATATATATATATATATATATATATATATCAGAGGCTATTTTAGACCATTTTTGACAGTGTTAACTGTATTTAGGCACCAATTTGGTCGTTGCCCAAATTAAAATTTGAGGACCTCCTCTTTTTTTGGCAAATATTTGCGCTAAATTTTGCTGGGATTTTGCATTGTTGCCAATTTTTTTTCCTAGAATAGCCCCTTTATATATATATATATATATATATATATATATATATATATATATATATATATATATATATATATATATATATATATATATACATACACGGGAATCCCACTTATATTTATAACCTCGCTTTCTTATGTATATCGTGTTGTTTGCTGGTGATGTATAAACAAGTTTTTGTATGTATTTATTTGATTTCTCTTTAATACTTAAAATCAAGATGTGCAAAATAATAGGCAATGTATATTTTAAACTTAATTTTTTTTTAAATTATTTTCAATTATTATCAATTTATTTAGTTAAAAGATGAATTTTATTAACCGTTACTATAAAATTTGTTGTATTAAAAAGAAAACATTTTTTTAAGAAAGATAAAATAAAAATAAATAAGTGTATTGTTCTTTGTTCGAAAGATAAAAGAAATTTAATTAAAAATATACGAAATCAGGGTAAGACTTTAAAAGAAATTTCAAACAAAATGGGCTGTTCAATTATATGATTTACAATTCAATTTTAAAAAATACACCCAAAACACGTGGTCGAAAGCGGAAAACATCAAGAAAAAATGACAAAAATATTGTTCTCTATTCTAAAAGAAATAGTTTTGCAACATCAAAAGAAATAAAAGCTACTCTTGACCTGAAGATTGACGCTTCAACAGTTAAAAAAAGGCATACTCGATAATATTTTAAAGCCAAGGTACCAAAGAAGTGTCCATTTTTATCACCAAATAATATTAAAAACAGAAAAGATTTTGCTAGGGAGTATGTGAGCTGGCCATCTTCAAAATGGTGAAATATTCTTTTGTCAGATGAGACTAAAATTAGCTTGTTTGGGCCAGATGCACTGAAAAGATATGTCAGAAGACCAAAAGGAAAAGAATATGATTCTAGATACACCATAAAAACGCTTAAATATGGTGATGAAAATATTAAAATATGCTTTTCATATTATGGAGTAGGTCCTCTTTTTTTTGGATCAAAGAAAATAAGAATAAAGAAATCTATTTAAATATACTACATGATGTTATGCTACCATTTGCAGAAGAAAATCTAGCTTTGGTATGGGTCTATCAACAAGATAATAACCCAAAGCATACTGAGAATGTAGTAAAAAATTAGTTTCATAACAAGAAAATTCGGATTTTGAAGTGGCCAGTCCAATCACTGGACATAAATCTGATAGAAAATCTCTGGGCACACTTAAAAAATTAATTAGGAAAACTTCCTATAACCAAAAATAAAGATGAACTGTGTTAATCTATGTGCAGGTATTTACATATTATATATAGAAATAAAAATTTCAAAACTGGTTTCTAACTTCTTCAAATTAGAGTCTAATTCCACAGAAATAACTTATTTGTTCTGAATGAATAAGGGTTTTAACTATTTAGTTTTATAAACTAAAATCACAATTTTAAAACAAAATAAAAATTCATTGATATTAAAATCAAAAACCATAATAATTTTAGAAAATTTTAATTTTGAAAAAATGAAAAATCTTTTTTTATATAATTATGTTTAAACATCAGAGAGGTTAATGGTCAATTATATGGTAGATTATATAATTATTTGTTTAAACATCAGGGAGGTTGATGGTCAATTAGTACCTTTACCAAATCAACATGTTGATACCGGACTAGGATTGGAAAGAATAATATCAGTTCTTCAAAATAAAATGTCAAATTACGATACAGATGTGTTTACACCCTACTTTGATGCAATTCATCAGGTATTTATTGTTTGTAAGTTTTCTGTGAAATTATTTTTTTAATTTTAGGATATATTTTCTTGTGCTGTGTGTCTTTAGATATTTGATGTTGTTTTTTCTGATCAAACAGGCTACTGGTATCAAACCTTACCTTGGTTTAGTTGGTCCTGATGATAAAGATGGTGTTGATATGGCTTATAGAGTAATAGCTGACCATATTCGTACATTAACAGTAGCATTGTCAGATGGTGGTAGACCAGACAATGTAGGAAGAGGGTTAGCTTTTTACCCCTTTAAATTTTTTTTTTTTTAAATTGCAGATATTCACAATTCATATAAATAATATAAATTTTATATTTTTTATTTTACTTTTTTTATTAAATGCTTTTAAAATATTTAAATTTATCTTTAATTTAATATCAGAAATATTCATGTTAATTTAATTATTAAAATTAGTAACATAAATTAAATAAGATTTAATATAAAAGATTTTTAATATGAAAATTAATGATTTGATTTTTAGATATGTGCTCCGTAGAATTCTGCGCAGGGCTGTTCGATTTGCAACAGAAAAACTCAACTGCAAACCTGGTGTATTTGCATCTCTTGTTGATGTTGTTTGTACTTCTTTAGGATCTGTTTATCCAAATATCTTGAAAGATCCACAAACAGTATTCTTTTATATTTATTTATATCCTACATATGTTTTTTAGAACTAGAAATTGTAAGATCAGATTAAATTTTATAAAAATTTCAAAAATAATAGTTTTCTCATATAAAAATTATTATTTTAGACTTTATTGCATAATAACTAGTTTTTTTTTAACTAAAAAAGTGCATTTTTACAAGTTTTTTGCTAACATTTTGGCAATATGTTTTTTTTTTTAAACAATTATAGTTTATAGTAACTATAACAACTGTAAGGTGAGGAATTACCAAAGGTAAAAAAAAAATTCTTAAAAAGTTTTATTTAGGTTTTCTATGATTTTCACAAACTTTTAAAACATTTAGTGCTTGAACATTGTTGATCAGTGTAACTCTTTGCCAAATAAATATATGTTTAAGTAAAAAGTAATGGAGGTTTTCTAAAGGTCTGATGATTATATTGAATAGCCAAAATAAACATTTGTTATATTAAAAGCTGCTTGTTATTGCCTGAAATGAATGAGTTCTATAGAGACTGTTGATTTTTGTAGATTGCTGATTTTGGCAATTTTTGAGGTTGATGACAACTTATAGCAAATGTTAAAGTTGTTTTGCTTAAAAAATACTGCCTTGTGGAAGAGGGAAGTGTTTGTGAAGCTTGCAAGTGTTTTATTTTTAAGATTTAGATCAGCTACCAGAGATTATCTTTTTCTGTATATATTGGCAATTCAGGATATTTCTTTCAGATTTTATTTTTTCTGGATTTCCAAAAATTTTTCTCTAAATACATATTTAAATGTATTTTTGCAATATATTTGTTTTGCTATTTTTTACTTTTTCTGTCTACTTATACGTAAAATAAAAAAAGTTTAAAAAAAAAAGGTCATCTTTTTAATTACAATTCTAATTCATAAAGCATATTTTGTGTTTTATGTACAAAATTCATGACATTATAATGCATATAATTGAGTTTATTGACAAACATGCTGAAAAACATGACTTAGCGAAAATTCAAAATAAAATTTTATAATTTTTGTGTTTGAAGTGTACAAGAATTAGAATCAGTGCAGGTAGATTTTTTCTGGTGCTTTTAAAAAAATTACAGTTAGTAATTTCTTTTTTAAGTTAGGAACAATTACATATGCTGAAGTCATCTAAAAATTAGGAGTGAATATTGACATCCATAACTTCATTTAAAAAGTCTATGTAATTTTTTTTTTACCTCCTCAAAGCCAAGAAATGGCCACTACAGTCTAAGAGAATACTTTATTGTAGTTATAACCCTCTTTCAACTGTAACTCCAAAACACAAACTTTGAAAAACAAGACCGCTGTGCAGAGAAACAAATTGAGCATGGTACTACCAGAGATGTGTCAGGGATCGAACTCTGAAATTCTCATTTATGAAGTAAGCACTCTACCACTACACCACTACTGCATGTTTAATGTATAAATAAATTTAAATTTTTATTTATCATCTGTTTATAACTTAAGGTTAGTATGATCTAATTTACTACTTTGGTTTGTTAGTCAAAATTTTATTATTATTTTAAGTTTTTAAAAGTAAAAAAAAAATTCTTATAATCTTTTCAAAATTGCTAAATGTTTTGAAATTTTTTGAAAATCATGTTGATACAAAAATCTAAGAGCCAATACAAAATGATGTTGGTACAAAAACCTAGGTGACAAAATATTTTTTAAACATTTCTTTTATTTTTAATTATGTCCTCATGGTTTGTTTTTTTTTTGTGTGTTAATTTTTTTTTTTTTTTTTTAAATTTATTTTCATTATTTTTATGCATTATCAAAATAATAAAATAAAATTTTTAATTTTTTAATATTATTTTATTAAAAATCAATATTAATTTTTTTTATATCACTTTTATTAAGATTAAAGACATTATTAATGAAGAAGAAAGTCAATTTTTAAAAACATTAGCCAGAGGAAGGAGATTATTTAACAGAACTGCAGATAAAACTACTGATGGTATAATTGCAGGTTAGCTTTTGTTGAGTTGATTAAATTAATTATAATTTGAATTGAGTTTTAAATAAACTTTTAAAATAGTTGCTTGAAATATGATACTCCTATACTATAATTCAGATTTTAAAGTTTACATTTAAAGATTAGTAAATAAAACATGGTTTGTGCTGCCTTAGGAGCACAAACCATGAAATTTGAAAATATTAAATGAAAGATTATTATGCAAAAGATTAGATAAAAAATTACGTTAAGAATAACGCATAAGATTAAATAAAAAATTTTATGAAAAAGTAAATCAAAAAGGTTTTTAAGCAAGTTTTATCAGTCAATTTTACATTAACAAATTTTAATGTAAAATTGAATGATAAAATAAGATTAGGTATTAAATTGAGTTCAAGATTGCATTTAAAAATTGACTAAAAGCTGCGCGAATACGCTAAAGATTCTTTAGAGATTAAGCTTAGATTAAACACTTAGATATAAAATGCATAGAAAAAATATCAGATCTATGACTCAAAGGAAAAACTCAACTTCTTGAATCTTGATACCATTTTATGACTAATCTGATTGTGTTTGTGCTGATTATATGAATTAGAATCTGATTGAAAAAATTCTGGAAAAGGGGCTGACAATACAATAGAAACAAATTAAGTTTTGATAAAAATAATTACATTATTTTTATCAAAATTAAAGTTTTGATAAAAATATTCACATAAAATACATTGCTATAACTTTTTGTTTAAAATTATTGACTTGTTTGTTCTGACTACTCCCTTTTCTTACTAACTCAAACATTTTTGTCAAAATTGTTTTAGAATATAAATATAATGAAAATAGCGTTCAAGATGTATATTTTGCTTATAGGAGTTATTTTAGGAGATATAAGTTTGAACCTGTTTTTTTATAGGATTTTCAAATTTTGCATTTATTGATTTTCAAAATAAATGAATTTAGTAACATATTCAGTTATTATATTTTTTAAGAAAATAATTTTTTTCTAGGAGATCTTGCTTGGAGATTATATGACACCTATGGTTTCCCAAGTGATCTAACAATTCTTATGGCAGAAGAACGTAACTTAAAAGTTGATATGGTTGGTTATGAAGTTTTGAAGGCTAAAGCTCAAGTAAGATTTTCATGTTTTTCTTAATGATAATGCAAAAGACAAATAAAAAAATGTCTATTATATCTGTTTAGGAAATGGCTCGTGCCAGAGGTTCTGAAGTGGAAGATATATATAGTTTAGATGTCCATGCTATAGATGAACTGAAAACAAAAGGTTTTGTACAGACAGATGAATCTCCAAAATATAATTATGAAAAAGATGAACATGGAAACTATGGTAATTTTTCTTTGTATTATATATCATATTGTCACAATCATTTCACTATTGCCTAAGTCATTTTTGGGGGTTTTTGAGTTGATGGTTGAAATATATAGTTTACAAAATGTACTATCATATTACAAATCACCTATATCTTAAATCAATCAGAAAATAGTTTATTTTGTTTGTTTCATTGTGATGTAAGATAAAAAAATAGTGATTTTTTTTTCTTTTTTTTTTTAGTTTTCTCAAAACATAAAAAATTGGTTTTAATTATTTTTATTATTTTTGCCACAATCTTTCTTTTTTTATTATATACAGTGTTACATTAGTAAGAATTGAAATAGTAGAGAGAATTTAAAGTTTTAGTGAGAACATAGAATGGTTTGAACTACCCAAAGAAGAAACCAACCACAATCTAGGGTCAGAAACAAGGCACAAATTAAGGAGCAATAGTAAATGATTTGAGATATTAAAGGAAATTATATCACAAAGTTGATTATTTGGGTAAGTGATTACGATGACAAAGATTTTGAGCTTTTGGTGCTAGCTGAATCATATAACTAAATCATATAACAGCTGAATCAGTAATACTAGAGCTAAGCTATTCATTGAAAGTTAGCAATAATAACAACATTATTAGACATAAGAACAAAGTCAGCATTAAAAACAATATTGGCAAATGAAAAAAGGAGCTATTTATCAGTTTGATCAGAATTAAGATAAAAAATTATCTTTGAAAAAAAAGAGAATAAAAATGACTCAGAGAAAAGTCAAAATATTCTGAACTGATTTTATGACAAGTAGAAAAATTGATATCTAAGTTTATGCCCAGTTTAAGCATGTGGCCTGGTCATAATGTTTAGTAAATAGTGTTTTGCAATTCATAATAGCTTTTAATAGATCTTTTGTATTTTTTAGCATAAGTTCTATTGTTCATGCTGATACCTAATCACTTGCATCTTTACTCTTTTTATGCCCCAATAACCTTGCATTCTTTTTACCCTTTTTGATGATTTTCCCTTAATTTTTCATGACACCCACCCTGATGCAGTCACTATCTTTAAGTTTATGATTATCATCTCTCACGACATCCATCTAATGGTTTTTTTCTATTTTTTCCAAATTCTGTATATTATCAACCTTTATTGCTTACTATGTCATGAATTATTACTCTCATGGATGTGGTGTGTAACTTTCAATTATTAACTTTTCTTTAATTATGCATTCTATGGTTTTTTTGAAGGGAAGGCAATTTCTAAACTTCTACTTTGTTCTTGCCAATTGTATCTCTGAGGTAACAAAACTTATCAGTACAATCTTTCCATGCCTCTAATTCAGTTTAAACCTTAACTATTTATTTTAATCTCTTTAATTTTATAGTATTTAATGAAAGTACATTTTCTGCACTCAAAGCCAACATAGCTAAGAGCTTTTTGTATATCACTACATCTTTTGTGAATCCATTGCTTACAAACTGTACAAATAAATTTGCTCTAACTCCTTATTTGTGACTCACCAATAGCATTTTTATGTTGCAAATGACACAATATGAGCAATTCCAAGAAGTTAAGTTTTTGTCATTTTACACTGTTGATATGTTGCGACTTTATAACATTTGGTTAAATGCGTCACATTTAACCATAATTTTAAACATAAAATTTGGTTAAATGCATCACATATACTCGGCACAGATTTCTTTCCAGCATGGAACAGATGTAAGAGTAGTACTTGCTGATTCTTGGTTTACAATGTATAACTTTCAAATTCAGCAAAAAAAAAATGTTAAATAATTTTTAAATAAAATTTTAAATTTTAAATAATCAAATATATTGCTAAGGAAAAATGTAAGTAAAAAATTTAATTTGTTAAATGTGTAATGTTAAAAAAAATAAAACATTGCTCATCTAAAGTTGATTTTTTTTTTTTTTTTTTTTTTAAATAGAAAGTTTCATTTTATTGTTTTTATGATAACCTGGGCATCATAATTGGCATTTTGTGTTTAACTATTGCATTATAACAGTGATAAAATTGCATTGTTGGTGTTATTTTTTACGTAATAAATATGCTTTTGTTATTTGTTGAATTAATAATGACTTAATTGAGATAATTATAATCAGATTTTTTTTTCTTCAGTTTTTCAACCAACAGAAGCCATAGTTACTGCTCTGAGAGTTAACAAGCAGTTTGTTGATGAAGTTACAAACGGAAAATGTGGGGTTCTTCTTGATAGGACATCTTTTTATGCTGAGCAAGGTGGACAACTGTTTGACACTGGCTACATTAATCTTGGAGAGGTTTTATTTTTGTGTTGCCATGTTGCCTAACTTTTGTAAAGTCAATTGTTTTTTATTTAAATAGAAATGATGCATTACACAAGTAGTGATGCCATCTGTTAAAAGATGTTCATTATCTCAGAAGAACTTTAATAAATAAATATTAACATAAAAAATATGAAAAAGTATAGCTAACATGTGTGTTTTAGAGGTTCAAAAAATAACATTTTTGAAAAAATCTGCTACCCTTTTAATGTGTACTGTAAAATAAAATAGCACTGGATAACTTTTTGAATAAAAAATATTTTTAGGGATTGCTTGAGAACAGATTACTAATAATATTTTAAACCTTTTTTTCAAAAGTTTTCTATTGGGTCTAAAAATAAAGCAAAATTATATAAAAATTTCAAAAATAAAAATCATTTTTCAAAAGAAAAATTACATAAATTTGTTTTATAAATTTTTATATAATTTCGCTTCATTGTAGACCCAACATGATTTTAATAATATTAGGGACCTGTTAAAATGCTCATTTTAACAAGTCCCTAATATTTAACATTTAACAGGTCCAAACCCCTAAAAGTATTTTTTATTCAAACCCCTAAAAGTATTTTTTATTCAAAAAAATTTTAAAAACTTAGTGTTATTTTATCGTAAAATACACATTAAGAGGGTACCAGAAGAACTTCTCAAAAATCTTTTTTACCCTATTGTGAGTTGTACTTTATATTTATAATCATTTTTTTGTACTATTGTTTTTGGTTATTTGACGTGTTTTAGGAGGTGGAGTTTGCCGTAAATGATGTGCAGATACACGGAGGTTATGTTTTGCATGTGGGAAATTTGGTTGGAACTCTTAAAGTTGGTGATAAAGTAACATGTAGTATTGATGAGGTAGTTATGTGATTTTTTTTCTTGATTAAATTTTACTAAAGTATTAACTTATATTTTATGAACTTGTTTTCAAGTCTTAACTACTAATCCATTCAATGTTTTTTAAAAGTCTTTGTCTCAATGATTAATCTATTCAATGTTTTTTAAAATTCTTTGTCTCAGTGATTAATCCATTCAATGTTTTTTAAAAGTCCCGACGTCGATCATTAATGAATAACCACACTGCCACACATTTGCTTAACTTTGCATTACGGAAAGTTCTTGTTGATGATGCCGATCAAAGAGGGTCATTGGTTGCACCAGATAAGCTTCGTTTTGATTTTACAGCCAAAGTAAGTTTTTTTTCCTCTTTCTCCAAAACGTTTTTCACACATAATTTGTCTGTAATGCACACTTGTTTTCAGGGTGCCTTATCATCTGAACAAGTCAAAATGACAGAGGATATTACTAGAGAAATAATCAAACAAGATCAAAAAGTTTTTGCTAGTGCAAGCTCTTTGGCTGTTGCTAAAAATATTCAAGGTTTGCGAGCCATATTTGATGAGGTAAATATAACAAGAAGTCTTTTTTGTATATAATAATAATTTAGCCAATCTTATCCCTTTGCAAATGGTAATCTAATCAATGGATTTACTTATAACAACCATAAATTTTATTAATAAAATATTCATAATATATATAGTTTATTTATTATCTTATAACATTCATTTCTGAGAAATAAGGTTTTTTTTTTTTATTTTTCCCAATTTAATCTAGCTAGTTTAACTTTCACTCCTCATCTTCTTAAAAAACCTTTATATATATATAATACCTGTTTTTTTCCTATTTAGAATTAATTTTGATGCAATTTTTTTAATTTTAGGTATATCCAGATCCTGTAAGAGTCATCTCAATTGGTTATGATCTAAAAGATCTAATTAATGATCCCCAGGCTGGTTATAAAACTTCTGTTGAGTTTTGTGGTGGAACGTATGTTAATTTAATTTATGTTTTTAATTATATATCAAGTAATATTTTTAATGTTTTTTTTTTTTTATTACTTGATTTGTTTTCATTCAGGTTTTCAAGTTTAAAATTTTTAATATTATTTTTGATTAGACATTTAAAAAGCACAGGTGATGTAGTAGAATTTGCTATTGTTTCTGAAGAAGCGATTTCTAAAGGCATACGCAGAATTGTATCGCTTACTGGCTCTGATGCTCTAAAGGTAATTAATAGATATGTGGCCTCAATGTAACTGCATAATAAATAACTGTAAATGCAATCTAACTGCATAATTCAGACATTAGCTAGTCTAAGTATGCTACTAACATTTGCCACTGATTTTAGTTTTAGCTTTTCTTTTTTTTTTTTTTTTCTTTTTTTTTTGCATAACCATGCATTTGTTTGTAATGTATGTGATGTAAATTTATGAATTGTTGTTTAATTAGTATTTTTTTTGTTCTTGTTTGATTTAGTTGTTCTTGTTTGATTTAGTATTAAAAATCCTCTTGGTTGTAGAAGTGCTCAATGTTTAAAATTTCGAAAACAAATTGTTTTATAACTAAGAAAAAATAACTTTTTGTTGAACTTATTATGCATATTGGAAATCATCAGAATATATAAAAATGTAGATTAAAAAATACAGTAGAATAAGTTCTGATGTATTTAATAAAAGAAGATGCAATTAAGATGCAGTAGAAAACGAATCAGCTGTATTAAATGATAAGAAATTTATTTTTGTATCTACACTAAAAGATGATCTTTTGTTTAGTCAATTGTCTTCTTTGTAAAACAATATTTTGAACTTCTCATTTGAACAAAGTTTACAAATTTTTGTAGGATTGTGTGGTTTACATTGTTTTCATACATCTATCTATATACATTAGCATATTCAAAAATCCCTTTTTAAATCATGGTATGTGAATCATTTAAAATTAATTAACACAGTTAGAAACAAAGCAATACTGAAACTATATAAAGAAATGTAAATAAATTTGTAACCTCAATCAAATAGAGTATTGTTAAACCATTTTAAGCATGAACAAAAACAATACAGAAAATGCAACATGATTGATGATACAGAAAGGTCGAACAAGTGTGTGGTTGGTCTAGACAAGATAATTCACTTGAAGCAGTTGTAGTATATATAGAAAAGATAAAGAGATACAACAATGTGAAAGAGATACAACCTTACAACAATGTAACAGAGATACAACCTTACAACAATGTGACAGAGGCCTAAGTTTGGTATATTGAGCAGGTTTAACTATATTTAAAATGTATTTTTGAATAAAAAATACATTTTAAATATAGTTTCTAAAAATAAAAGAAATAAGAAAAAAAGGGCAGGAGTAAGAAGTACTAACAGGTATACCATTTATGCATAGTTCTTCAATATTTTCCAGCTACTGGTGGAATGTAACTCTGAGAGTGCTACTCCAGTGTTAGGTCAATCTTACTACCAGCCAGTCATTAAACTGAGATTGAGATGCAAAACGAATTAAAAAGACAATTTTAGTTTTGATTTTATATCAATTGATAACAATAATGTTTTATAATATATATTTTAATAATATTTTGAATAACTAGAATTATTGGCGATTTTTTTTTTAGGCTCATAAAAGAGCAAATCAGTTAGCCTCAACATTAAATGAATTTTCAGAGTACGTTGAGGTTCAGAAAAACAATAATACATTGAACATGAGACAGTTGTCTCAGCAAATTGCAAAGATTACAGAGGTAAATTACGTAGAAATCTTTTTTTTTATTTTTAAGTGAAAATAGTCAGTTTTAGAGTTCTAAAATTGTTTTGACTTTAGGAAATATCTGAATCGCTTATACCGGCATGGTGCAAACATGAACTTAGAGAAAAATTAAAAAGCATTAAAAAACATCTTGATGATACTGAGCGAATGGAAAAAGCTTCTCGACAAAATAGAGTAAGTTATAGAAATTTTTAGGTTTTTTTTAATTTCAATGGATATTGTAGCTCGGCTAAAATTGCTATATATAAATTAAAAATCTCCACAATTTTTTTGGTTTTGTGTCAATCTGTTTCGGTTTCAGGTTTATTTTTAGGTCAGTTTGTTGTGTTTTTAAACCATTTTTAGTTAAGTTTGTTGTGTTTTTCAAACTTACTTTAGTTTTGTCGCTACTAAGCTACTATACCCTCTAATATACGAATATAACCCCTTGTACTTGTCGTTAAATATACTTCTTTGTCTTAAAAATATTTAACTTGTCGTTAAATATTTTTATAATTAATAGGTTATTGAAAAAGCTAGTGAGATCGCTACACTTCATCTAAATGAACCTTTTATTGTTCAAAGAATGGAAGATGGCTGTAATGCTAAAGTAAATTTTTTTCTATTTTTAATTACAAAAATTTGTAAATATTGTAAATAAAATTTAAATAAACCACATAAAGCGTAAAGAAATTTGTAAATTTTTGATTTGTACAAGGCGTTGGATGCTGCTTTAAAAAGTGTGAAGGCTGTCGCTCCTAACTTATCTGCGATGCTTTTTTCTGTTGATACTGAAACAAACACAGTAATTTGTTTATGCCAAGTTCCTCAAGTAAGTTTTTTATGTATTACTTTGTTATCATTGTCAACCGACTTGTTGATTTGATTTTTTTTTTTTTTTTTTGTATTAACTTTATTATTTTAGAATGTAGTTGATAACACTAGTTTAAAGGCTAACGAATGGGTAAAAGAAGTTTCTACCGTTATCGGTGGGAAAGGTGGTGGTAAACCAATTTCTGCTCAAGGATCCGGAGATAAAATGCAGGAAATAGATAAAGCTGTAGAAGTTGCAAAATCGTTTGCATCTTTAAAACTTCAGTAGACGAATTATAATTAGCAGTAATAAATAATAACAAACGCTTCTTGCAATTAAAAAAATGTACATTTTCACGATTAAAAAAAATGATAGAATAAGCTAGATAAAAATAATCAATTCGATTTACAATAATTCTTTTAAAATCTAAAAAAAAATTTGATGGAATTTGTTTTAAAAATTTTGCTGTTCTCTATAGGTTATCAGGTTGAAATTCTCCTCACTTCTGATTTGTTTTACATTTTATCAATAATATTCGTTAGTCACATTAAAACGTTTGTCACATGTCCAAAAAAATTTTTTTTTTTGCTTTCTTTTTGTTTTAATAAAGTGAAGAATGAAAACTGAACATTTGAAGTCAGTTTTAGCAGAAATATATGTACCTAATTCCAGATTGAAAAACGCTTTACATGGGGTAGCTAGAGCATATTTAGACGAATTAATTCACTTATAATATTTAAGAAAATTCATATGGTTTTAACAACTTCACCCTGGTTACTCTAGTTTTTAAATATTCAAAATCAATGCAGAAAATGTCACTAATGATTAAAAAATCTACAAAACTGTATTGTTAAACTAATAAATAAACCGAAAAGCACTTAACTCCATTAAAATAAAATACTATTTTCACAACAAAAAAAAAAGAAAGTTATTAAACAATGAATTGAACGATGGAAAAAACCAAGGAGGTATAATAGCTAGGACTGCCTGGAAGTAAAAATGAACGATGAAGAAAATCCGAAACTCGTTTAAAAACGTAAAAATTGGTTGTATAATTATTTCAGCGGCTAATCAAAATAGTGCCTTTGCGTTAAAAAACAAAAATTGTAATGTAGTTTAAATATTTATATGCCATATCAGTTATTTCTCTTTATTTGCATAGCGAATTGCGAAACTGAGAGATCATTCTCTGCTATTAATAAAGTACCGATGAACAATGCTCCAAAGCCGTTAAACTAACTTATAAAGATAAACTCTTGAATCAAAAATATTAGAAACAATGAATTTCAGCTGTTTTCATAATTTTATATTTGTGATATTCATTCATGCTATAAGTTAAAACCTCATTAGGATGATGAGAACTGACGTTCTGACGTCGTTATGATAGAACTGACATAAAGCTTATTTAGTTAAAACAGAACAAAGTTTAGATATCAAAATAAACGTTTTTGAGCCTACTCGTCTCGAGTGCCATCATCTTCAAAATATAGCTAAAATTCTTATAAAACCACTTTTTTTAGTTATTTAGCATGCTGGCAACTGCATCACGCTTATTACGCTTAATTATGGTGATAACAGTGAGACACCAGTGCAAATTAAAACGAGTATGGAGTTTTTATCACGCATGTTTCGTTCGTCGTGTGTGACACTGCCGTTGCCATATTTAGAAGTTGTTTGATTAAATCTATTTCAAGTATATTTTTAATATTATTACTATTCAACTAAAACATTTTTGTCATGTAAAAAAAAAATCCCAATGTTTTTTTAGAAAAATTGATTCTTTATTCTTTTTCAAAAATGTCTTTTTAACTTTTTTACATAAGTGATCTGTTATTTATATAAATCAATTTTTGAAGTTGCTTGTTGTTGTCGACAACAACATATAACTTTAAAACAACATACAACAATTGATTCAACTTTTTAGTGATAAGATTCTAAACTTATTTCTAATTATTATTATTTTTAAACCATACAATGTTTTTTAATTTGGTAAACTGCACAACTTGGTTATGTACGTCTTTCTTTTTTGCCAAAAATACTAGGATTTTTAGTACTTTTAGCTGATTGCTTATTTGCAACATTTGATATCCATTATTTGCAACATCTGATACGCACCTGTACTGCATTAAGTAAAAATTAAAAAAAAGATTAAAAGTATCATAGTAACAAAGTGATCATTTTTTCTGATGTTTTAAGATAAAAACAAAGTTTTAAGTTTAGCAGAATGCTAATGTATTTTTACATCTTATTGATAATAATATAATTTAAAACGTTTTAGTCTTTTTTATGTATTTTCATTATTTTTTTATTTTTTTGCCATATAATAATATTTACAATAAAGTAGATCATGTCCGTATATAATAAATGACCAAAGCAAGAAGAAGGCATATAATACCTTATCACCAGCCCCATTTACATTGTCGTTTTTAGTTTATATTACTCTTTGAAAACAAAACAAAGAAGATAAAATCTAATATTATTACATGCTGATGCTAAAATATATCCAAACGTTTTTGCACAATAATGTTTGAATATATTTTAGCATCTTCCCCCATCACCACAACCACCCATCAAAAAAAAAAAAAAATTAACTATCTACCTTTTCCCATACACTAAAGTCATTTTTTGTTATCTAAAATTATATCTGTTATCTATAATTTAACTTTGTTTTTCAAAAAAAAGAATTCATTTTATAAGAAAAAATTTTAAGAATTGTATTGAAAATTCCATTTTATAAAAATAAACATTGTGTAGGCTTTGCTTTGTGTTATCCAACCTGTAGCCTCTTCTTGATCAGTCGAACTTATTCAGCGCAGTAATTAACACGTTCAATCAACTTCAAAAACCTTATAATTATATCAAATATACTGGCATCTCCCTTGGTTCGCTTCTCCTTCTTTTGAACATATATATTATACAAATATTTAATAATAAAAAATGTTCAAGAAGTCAAAAAAATATCCGTGCAACGTTAGTAATAATGCAAAACATTGAGCAGTTTGATGAAGAACTATAACGGGTTCTTTAAAGAATCTTAATTTAAGGTTCTTCCGAATAACCTTCGCAAAGGGTCTTTGAAGAACCTCTACGGGTGCTCCACCAGATTCAGAACCCTTAAAGGTTCTGAATCTGGTGGCTAAGACCAGATTCAGATAAAAGATTTTGTTTGTTTTTGTTTATATGTTATTTTTAAACGGCAATTTTATCATATGTCAATGGAATGGTTTCGTCTTTTTCTGACGTAAGTGCATTAGAAATGGTGTCCAGAATTTTGTTGACACATATTGTCCCTCATCTAAATTGATACCACTTTGTTGAAGGGCACATTAGTGGTACTGTATTTCAAGCGCCTCACGAACTTTCCTATCAAACTTTTTGTTATTGACTTTTAGAGTTCTGCAACTGTCCCAGTTAATTTGTTGTGCACAATGTTTCATGTGTGTGGCTAATGCTGATCTTTCTGTTTTATTTCCTATTGTACTGTTTTTGTGTTGTTGCATGCGTGTTTTTATTTGCATTTTTGTTTCACCAATATACTTTTTGTTACAATGTTTTGTTACAATTTTGTTACACTTAATAAGGTAAACTCCTGGGTGGCTGTTCCTTTGTAGTTTGGATTTATTTCTTGAAGTCAATATTGCTTCTAGATTTAAGTTTGATTTAAAGACCGTTTTATATCCTGCCTTCCTAAACACTTTACGCAATTTGGGAGACAATAGCTCCTTAACCTTGGACCAAAATTTCTCCTATAAAAGTCTTCTTAACCTTGGACCAAAATTTGTACCAACAACAAAATCTCTTCCATATCTTGACATTGTCTCAATAACTGAGTCATCTGCTCTAAAACTTGAGTACAATAAAAAAGATGAAGCTGCACAAACTCTGAGGAGAGAAGTTTTGAGAGAATTAAAACTAAATAAAAATAATAAAAATGACAACCTGACTCGTCAACAACGAAAAGCACTTACACAACTAAAAAAAGATAAAAATATTGATATATACCCATTTGATAAAGGAATAGGCTTTGTAACAATCCCTCATGATAAAGCAATAAAAAAGATTCGAGAACAAATTGGGCTAACTAAAATAACCAATGAAGATCCGACACAAAGTTACGCAATGAAAATCAAAGTCCAACTATCGAAATTAAATAAAAAAGGTCGGTTCACAAAAGATGAATATCAGCAAATTTATCCCAGTGACCCAATATCACCTTGTATGTATGGTGTAGTGAAGGCACATAAACCTGAAAAATCTTATCCAATGCGAATTGTAGTATCTACAATAGACACACCAAACTACGGAATCTCAAATTACTTAGTAAAACTAATACAACCAATATTAAATGAAAACCCAACTCAATTAAAAAATTCGCAACAATTTGTAGAAAAAGCAAAATCATGGGACATATCCAGTGACGAAATTCAGATATCATTAGACGTTATAAACTTATACCCGTCAATTCCACTTAAAGAAGCAACTGAAGTACTCATAAGTATATTGGAAGTGAGCGATAATTTTAAAAAAATGACAAAACTAAATATAAAAGAAATAAAAACTCTAATTGAACTATGTTTATACCGACCATACTTTTTATGGAACAATGAAATACATGAACTTGAAAATTCAGGTCCAATAGGTCTTTCTGTTATGGTAGTTTTAGCTGAATCTTTTCTTCAAAATCTTGAAAAAAGAGCGCTTAATATAGCGCTGAAAACCAACCCGATTATTGACATAAAAGCATTTTATAGATACGTAGATGACAGCCATGCTAGAGTCCCTAACATTGCCCAGGCTAATCAATTCAAGACAATACTTAACCAACAGCATCCAAAAATACAATATACAATCGAATTTGAAAATGACAAAAAAACAATAAATTTTCTAGACTTATGTATAATAAATAATAAAAATGGCAAATACGAATTTAGAATACACAGAAAAAATGCAATTACTAACATTCAAGTTAAGGCAACATCAAACCATGACCCACAAATTTTAAATGGAATATTCAAGGGTTTTGTACATAGAGCATTTAATGTATGCAGTCAGAAACATATAGAAAATGAACTGAAATTCTTTATTCAAGTATTTGTCGAAAATGGTTACAAATATTCCAATCTTATAAAAATCATAAAAGAAATAAAACGAAAGTACAAAAAACCTCTAGTGACTACTAAAAACATTGACAACATCACCAGTACGAATCCAACAATTTCATTACCTTGGGTACCAATATTGTCTCCCAAATTGCGTAAAGTCTTTAGGAAGGCAGGATATAAAACGGTCTTTAAATCAAACTCAAACCTAGAAGCAATATTGACTTCAAGAAATAAATCCAAACTACAAAGGAACAGGAGTTTACCTTATTAAGTGCCATTGTAACAAAAAGTATATTGGTGAAATAAAAATGCAAATAAAAACACGCATGCAACAACACAAAAACAGTACAATAGGAAATAAAACAGAAAGATCAGCATTAGCCACACACATGAAACATTGTGCACAACAAATTAACTGGGACAGTTGCAGAACTCTAAAAGTCAATAACAAAAAGTTTGATAGGAAAGTTCGTGAGGCGCTTGAAATACAGTACCACTAATGTGCCCTTCAACAAAGTGGTATCAATTTAGATGAGGGACAATATGTGTCAACAAAATTCTGGACACCATTTCTAATGCACTTACGTCAGAAAAAGACGAAACCATTCCATTGACATATGATAAAATTGCCGTTTAAAAATAACATATAAACAAAAACAAACAAAATCTTTTAAGCTGAAGACGCTGGTCACAACAATCCAGCGAAAATTTCTTTTAAAAAATAAAAAATAAATTTAGTATTGAGAGAAAATCGTATTTATTGATGTTTATAAAATAATAATAATAATAATAATAATAATAATAATAATAATAATAATAATGATAATAATAATATATATATATATATATATATATATATATATATATATATATATATATATATATATATATATATATATATATTCAAATGTATTTGTCCATATGTAACATCAGAAAGTCTGAAATTAGTATATTTTGGCCTAATACATTGTTTCATATACTATGCCAATATCACATGGGCTAGTACTCAACCAACAAAACTTAAGAAAAAATTTTCTTTACAAAAACATGCATGCAGACTTATATATAAAAAAAAAAAATATGAGCATGCAAAACCATTAATGGAAGACATGAAAATGATGAATATATATGAAATCAACATTTACCAACACCTAATTTTTATGTATAAATGTAACAACAGCTTGATTCCAAAAAACTTTAATGATAAATTTACAATAAATGTAAACAAAAAATATTCTCATAGAATAAACCAATGGAATACTTATAAATTACCAAGAATTTATAGTATGTATTCTGAATATGGAATATCATACCGTGGACCAAAACTATGGAACACTTTTCAAAAAACAAAAAATTTAAATACTGTAAAATCATTAAATTCCTTTAAGTTTATAATAAAAAATGAAATTTTTAAATTAGATAAATAGTTTTTTTGATTTTTCGAAATGAAAAACGAGTTCCATTATTCTTAGTTTTTTTACTTGTTAATTGGCTCTTATTTTGATACTTAACAGAGTTGCCAATATATTTTAATGAATATTGATAAAACTATATGATGTTATTTACTTTCTTGATTTAATGGAAATATTTATGCAAGCTTTAACCTTATTGGAGATACTATTTTTTTTAACATGTAAAGCCCACCTAGGGGCTCTATGAAAAGATTGTGGTGACTTTAGTCATCCGTATCTTCTTTGAGCCCCTGCCTGTTTATTATAAATTCACTTTTTTTTTTTTTATGTAAACGTTTCTTTGTAATTATATTTCTTATTATATAAACAGCAAATATATATTAAATAAATAAATAAATATATATATATATATATATATATATATATATATATATATATATATATATATATATATATATATATATATATATATATATATATTCATATTACTTTCACTTCCGGAAAAAAGGAGGAAAGTTTTTTAAAAAAGTTTATTACATTTCCCGGGCAATTTATAGCTGTTTTTTCTATATAATCTTAGATTATACTTTTCATTTAGATTTATTTTAAACTTGTTGTTGAAGTTTGCTGGCAAAAGTTTGTAGTATCTATAGCGTATTATATTCCTATATTCAAGTGAAAAAAGTTAAACATTTTTGCTGTTGCTTTTTTTCAAGTCCTTTTTTAATTTTTTTATGGTGACCAGCAGTAGAATTTGTTTCATGTTGTCTGACCTCTAGCCTCCAGCAAACTCATTGATACCACTGCGTCACAACTTTTTTTATTAAACTCCCTAAGGCTCTTCTTGAGGTGAGTTTAAATATTAAAAAAAAATTTTATTTACATTTGTTAATTATCTGCTTCCACGTTTCTTGCGTGAGTTTTCATGGGTTTTTTTCTAAATATTTTTGCACAATAACAAGTTTTTTAATTTTTGTAATTTATTTCATTTTTATATTTTTAGTTTTTATATTTCAGTTTTATATATATATATATATATATTATTTATTTGAATTTTCATGCTATTATTTTCTATACAATGTTAAATCCGAAGATATTGTTGACTTATCATAGCAACAGCTGTAAATAGTCATAAGACTAATCCAAAGTAGCGTCCGTTATTCACCAACATTTTTGCGTACACAAGTACTACTCAAGCGCTGAGTTGGCGGTTGAAGAATTAGAAACCGCATTCGTACAACAGTCCATCTTTTAAATTTTTCATTTGTCGCTTAAACCATCTGAGCTATCCAGCCACATAAATTAAAAAGATTTTTTCATGGAATTTTTGTATGTATGTATATATGTGGATTTGTATGTATGTATGAATGTATGTATGAATGTAAGTATGTATGTATGTATGTATGTATGTATGTATGTATGTATGTATGTATGTATGTATGTATGTATGTATGTATGTATGTATGTATGTATGTATGTATGTATGTATGTATGTATGTATGTATGTATGTTTGTATCTGGATATGTGTACGTTTATATGTGTGTATGTGTATATGTATGTGCGTTTGTATGTGTATGTGCATATTCATAAACCTTTATACCAGAAGAGTAACATTGTACAGATGTATCACAGAAGAGTTAACATTATTACAGACAAAAATAGAACATGAAATTGCATTACAATTATTTGATCAATATTTATCAATACAATAAAGATCAATACTATAAAACGAAAAAAATAACATCCTAATTATGTATACTTTATTGTTGTACCTTGAACTTGTACATACACTTTCAAAAACAAATACAAAAAAAACATGAAGAATTTAGTCGTAGATATAGAAAATGAAGTAGAAAACCTCAATTGAAATGTCAAACAATTGTCATTGAATGAAGAATACTTGACCATATATTTTGATTTTAAAGTGAAATTTATCTAAAAGTCACAGAAAAAAAAGTTGCATGAGACAGTCGTTTGAAAGGCTATGTAATTTCGTTGCAAGCACTTTTAAGCAAGTAACTTAAAACTATAACGAAAGAAATATTTAATTTTCAACAGCGGTTCTCTGTGACAAGACCATAAGGTCTTCTTAGATTGTCCGCGTTCTTTATATTTATCCTTAACTTTTTCAAGTGTAATTTTTCTCTTTTATATTAGTATCTTAAAGTTTGTATTTTAAATCATGTAATGAAGAACAAATATATATATATATATATATATATATATATATATATATATATATATATATATATATATATATATATATATATATATATATATATTTAAGTGACATCTTTAATAGTATGTGTAATTATAAGCATTAAAACATCATATACGGTATCATACTATTTATTTCTTTTCTCTATAAGTGATATTTCGGCTCATATAGTGAGAGCCATAATCAAACTAATAAAACCGTTGAAAAAACCGTTGAAAAAATTATAATAAACGTAAACATATGATGTCATTGCAACGTCAGATTTCAACATTTTTTAATTTTACAAAGAATGGTTTCCAATGGTGAGTCACCATTGTCGCGATTTAAAACGTTTTCTTTAGGTTTTGAACATTGATACGTTGTTTTCAATAGTCTCACGAATTTTTTTGGTGTAGTTGTTTGAAATAAAAGAAAGCGTTTTAGGGTTCTCCCAGTTTATTTTGCCATTACAATGTTATGAGTGTTCTACTATTCCTGATGTTTCCCAGTTGGCTTTTGTAACATTATTTTTATGTTCTTGAATTTGTGTGGAACTCTTTTTTCTTGTTTCACCAATATAACATGCACCACATGTGCAATTAAGTTGCTGCACTCCTGGATGACTATTCGGAGGGAGTATATACTTGTTACGGCAGAGTATGTTGATTAAGGGTTTACCAAAACGAAAGACTGTTTTAACGCCGACTTTACGAAACTCTCTTCTAAGAACAAGGCCTAACTTTGGGACCCATGGTAAAATAACTAGATTTTTGGTATCAAATTTTTGAGAACAAGATGGATTTGTGGAGTATTTATAATATTCCACAAATCCATCTTTTAACGGTTTTATAGGCCCGGTTTTTTTAACGGTTTTATTAGTTTGATAATGGCTCTTACTATATGAGCCGAAATATCACTTATAGAGAAAAGAAATAAGTTAGTTTTACATTTATACATAAAACAAAGAATATTAAAAACATTCAGCTGATATATATTAAGAATTTTCATTTCAAATAAAAGAGGCTTGACATGAGTAAATCTGTTTTTAAAATTAATAAGACGAGCAGCATGCTTCTGTTGAGGATAAAGAGGCTCCAGTTTACATTTATTGGCATTGAACCAAGCAATATTTGCATAGTTTAAATGACAATGGATAAAAGAGAAATATAACTGAATTAGACTACGTTTATTTAACACACCTCTAGCTTTATACAATATTCCTATACTTTTAGCAATTTTATTACACAAGAATTCAATGTGGTATTTCCAACTAAGGTTTTCATCAACATAGATATCCAAAAAATTAGCACTAATTACTCTTTTTATTTGGATTTTATCAATAAAATGTTAAGGTAGTTCACAAAGAAGTAGTTTTTTTTTAGACGCTGGATGAAAAAGTGTCCATTTTGTTTAAACCAATCAGATAATTTTGTTAATTCCATGTTCATATCTCGAAATAATGTAGTTATGCTATTATCAGACAAAAAGAGGTTAGTGTCATCGGCAAACATGACTGACATCAAATTAGAAGCTTTATGAAGATCATTAATATAAATAAGAAAGAAAAGGGGTCCTAATATCGAGCCCTGCGGAACCCCACAGGTTATGCTGAATAAAGTAGGTGGGTTAACTTCATTACTATAAACAAACTGTTTGCGGTTACTTAAGTAACTTTGAAGTTACTTAAGTAACCGCAAGGGTTACTTAAGTAACCGCAAGGGTTACTTAAGTAACCGCAAGGGTTACTTAAGTAACCGCAAGGGTTACTTAAGTAACCGCAAGGGTTACTTAAGTAACCGCAAGGGTTACTTAAGTAACCGCAAGGGTTACTTAAGTAACCGCAAGGGTTACTTAAGTAACCGCAAGGGTTACTTAAGTAACCGCAAGGGTTACTTAAGTAACCGCAAGGGTTACTTAAGTAACCGCAAGGGTTACTTAAGTAACCGCAAGGGTTACTTAAGTAACCGCAAGGGTTACTTAAGTAACCGCAAGGGTTACTTAAGTAACCGCAAGGGTTACTTAAGTAACCGCAAGGGTTACTTAAGTAACCGCAAGGGTTACTTAAGTAACCGCAAGGGTTACTTAAGTAACCGCAAGAGTTAACTTAACTGAATCTGGCCAAAATAGTTCTTCATTTTTACAGCAGATTCAAGGGAATGAACACCAGCTAGATTAAGGTTATGAGCGCTGCATGGCATGTAGAAAGCTTGAGGGTTTCTCTGAAGAATGATCGCTTGTACTCCTTTGTACACACCAGACATATTGGCACCGTTGTCATATCCCTAACCTTAACAGTTCTTCAGATCGATATCATTTTTGATTGATCCAAGATTGATCCAAGACATCCATAATTAGCTTAGCAATATCCACACCTTTCTTTTTAGCGAGATTTTCGACCCTAAGCGATCCTTAACTACCCATTTTTTATCAACACCATAGTAGACAAAGCGGAGAGCAAATATAATTTGCTCAGTATGAGAAATGTCAGGCGTTCCGTCGGCAAGAATGGAATAGTAAACTGCGCCTCTTTAATGATGGCACCGTGGACAATTCTTCCGCACTCTTTTATAAATTCATTTTGAGAACTCCAACCCAAATAATGCGCAACAATTTGTTTACCTTCTTGTTGGCAGCAAGAAACCTCTTCTAGATGTAACTGAAGAGTCTTGTTGTGCTTTGCGAATAGCTATAGAGTTGCAAGAAAATTTTCGTTATCGTCATCACCGATCATTTTTGATGAACCTAAAACATCAATTTTAATTACACATATAAATTATGACTATGTAAACATAAATATAATAATTAATGTTCACAAATATACCTCTGAGGCTAAGGTTGCGTGATGCTAAAAAGAGAATTACATTTAAAATGCACTCTAAAGTTTCACGCCACCTCGCTGCCTCATTTTTTATCAATTTTTCTAAACTTGAATCAATCCCACATTGATTTCCCAAGCTTTCCAGCGCTGTTTTTCACTTAATGTAACAATCTCGATGATGAGGATTGTTTTGGTGGCTTTTAACTTTTTCAGCTAGCTTTATCCAGTTTCCATTGATGCCACCATTCCAAAGTAGAAGATGTGAATTATTACAAGCCCCGCAGGCTAGTTTGCTTCAAAAAAGTGAGCACGGGAAGCAAAGAAATGATTTTGAAGTTGCAACCCAAACAAGCCAATCTCTGTTTATTTTCTTCCCATTACGAGTTATTTCGTGAAAAACTGATTCAGGAACCTTAATCTTGTTCGAGTCTCTCGGAAAAGATAAACATTTTCAGGAGACCCCTGAAGAACAACTGCATCGCGTTCTACTTTGGAGATATTTTCAGCCCACAAAGCAGAATCGTTTGTAGTAATTGCCTCACCCATCTTATCTTTATTCTAATATTTTAAATAATGATTTTAGTAAGTATATAATTTTCACAAGTTCACAAAAATAATTAAAATAATCTTTGCGAAGCAAACTTTACCAAAAAATTGTTTTCATTTTCAACTCTTGTTGCCGACCTTGCCAACGTGCCACTCGAAGGAGGAAGTGATTCTTCTGAGTTCAACAAAATTTCATAAGACTCACTTGCAAAGCTATCCTATAGAAAATGAAGTAAAATATTCAAAAATGTCTTGATTTATATAATAATAGTATAATAGAAAAGATATATGAAAAAGAAGGTTATGTTTCGATAAATGAACTTACTATTTCAAAAGCTTGAGGTGATTGAAAGGAATTTGTAGATATCAATCTAGAAACTATAGGCCTATCCCCGTCATTTTTTTAAACTTGTATACCACAATCTTCGAGTGTAAGTTTATTTTTTTTCTCATTTGCCGCATTTTTTCTGTTTTGACAGCCACAATCTTTTTTTCTTGAAACTGAAAATGTTTTGTTTTTAAGAAAGTTTTGAACTTGAATGAAAACTATTTTTATGATACTTAGCGAATCTATATTAAATCTAAGAATCTCAATTATACAATGTATTTAACTTTATATATATATATATATATATATATATATATATATATATATATATATATATATATATATATATATATATATATATATATATATATTACTTTTAAAAATAAGACAAATTTTTTTTTTTTAATTTTTTAAAAGTAATATCACATTTTGTGCTGAAAAGAAGTTTTGATAATATATATATATATATATATATATATATATATATATATATATATATATATATATATATATATATATATATATATATATATATATATATATATATATATATAAAATGTTACGCCAACATATAGTAACCTCAATAAACTTATTTTTCAACTATTTAAGAATATCTTTTGGAAAAAAAATTATTAAAAAAATCCTTTTATCATACCTTAACGTAGTTATAAAGTTGTAAGGGTTATATAAACATTTTTTAGCGTTTATGTACAGCCCTGTTGTGAAGCGTTGAAAAAGGTTTCAGTGCTGCGTTTTGAAATAACTATTACTTCTAGGTTTGAATTAAAGGATAAATTAAACATTATTCATAATATTTTTTTATAAAAACGCACTCTAACTAGGTCTATAAGAAAAATATATTTATGAAAACAATACGTTACAACCGTCACGAAAATAAGTCAAAAGGTTTTTTCTTTGCTTCGTATCAAACTTTTTAAAACTACAAATATGGTAAAAGTGGAGATAATAATATAAATTTTATCATTGTTTCAACTTAAAAAAAAAAAGTGCTTTAGAACACTTTTTCAAGACGTTATTAAGCACGTAACCATCACGATATGTTTGTTTTTCCAAAACGGTATCTTGACTTTATATAAAGTTTAAGCGTGAACGATTTTATTATTTAAACCGATTATATTACATTGGATTTTATTACAATGTATTTAAACCAAATTAAATATCAATTCCGTTAATTGTCTCGTTTGTAATTTGTTTACGTTTGTATTTTATTACAAAGCTCAATTAAGTAATTCTTATTTCTTTTTTTAAGTTATAAGTAATATAATTAAAAAAAATATATAATTAATTTTTTTAAATCATAAGTAATATAATTTATAAAATTATAATTTCAAACAACTAATACGAAGAGTTTTTTTATTCAAGAAATAATAACTTTTAAAGAGAAGGAAATTTTTTTTAGAATAAACTTTATAGTTTGCACTGCAACGTTTTTGTTCCTTTGATTTCGTGGTTGTTTTTTTTTATTTATTTTTTATTTATAACATTTCACGAGATTTTTTAAAATCAAGTTGAAATCAATTTTTTAAATCAAGTTTAAATCTATAACAGATACACTGTGGACCAGAGATGAGTTTAGGTTTAATGGAGTGTCACTCAAGTGAAACTTTTTTTATTTAAGAGTATTTGTATTATAACAATAAAAAAGAGATTTTTTAAAATCCGAATAAATTGCCAAGGGTCATAAATGGGGCAAAAGGGTAAACACAAGGGGGGCATAAGCCCATTTATGTGTGCTAGTTGCAAATTACAAAAAAAAAATTTTAATCAAGAGTATTTGTTTCATAAAAATAAAAAATAGCGTTTTTAAAGTTAAAAAAAATGCTAAGGGTCACAAATAGGGCACGGAAAAAATTGAGGGGGACATAAGCCCATTTTACCATTTTAGGTGCCCGTTATATTTTTCTTTTAAAAATAAATGTCAAATAAGTTAAACAAAATATTAGGCAACAAAAAAAATTTAAAATTTTATAATATTACTGTAAATATTTTACATAATCCAACAGAAATTAGTATTCAAATACTACTTTACGTCTTTCCTCAGCATAGACATATATTTTAGTGTATAAAATACATTAAAATAGTAAAAAACTCTTGTTTTGTTCTAACTCTTTTGAATAAGAACAAGTTATTATTTGCTTTATTAAAAAATTCTTTCCTATTGAACCAAGGTTTCCATCATCCAAGTTTGCTGAACAATTTATTGTCAGTTTTCTGAACAGTATGGACTGTTTATTCTTGACTACACAGACTAAAGTTACACTTTTAAAAAAGCATACTCAATGCGTGAATCAACTTTGAATAAGCCTTAATGGAAGAAGAGTTTAATTTATCATTAACTTTGACATACTGCTCAAGACCCGGAAGAACAATTATTCACTTTTTGTTGGATTATGTAAAATATTTACAGTAATATTATAAAATTTTAAATTTTTTTTGTTGCTTAATATTTTGTTTAACTTATTTGACATTTATTTTTAAAAGAAAAATATAACGGGCACCTAAAATGGTAAAATGGGCTTATGTCCCCCTCAATTTTACCCTTGCCCTATTTGTGACCCTTAGCATTTTTTTTAACTTTAAAAACGCTATTTTTTATTTTTATGAAACAAATACTCTTGATTAAATTTTTTTTTTGTAATTTGCAACTAGCACACATAAATGGGCTTATGCCCCCCTTGTGTTTACCCTTTTGCCCCATTTATGACCCTTGGCAATTTATTCGGATTTTAAAAAATCTCTTATTTATTGTTATTATACAAATACTCTTAAATAAAAAAGGTTTCACTTGAGTGACACTCCATTAAACCTAAACTCATCACTGGTCCACAGTGTCTAAGGCATTCGATACTGTTGATGAATTTTATTTTCAAAATTAAAGCATTACGGCATTAGAGGCCGTAATGCTTTAACTTTGTTTAAAAAACAAACCTTACTCTCTTTCATAAAATAAGACAATCAACTAATCTTCCGTTTATAAATGTCCTAAATATATCAAAACTCAATTTGCTTCAAATTTTTATGCATATATTATATACATAAAAATTTCAAATTATATGTAAATATTCGCTTCTATATTTATGTATAAATATAAGAACAACTTGTTGCCAACAGTATTTTCTGATATTTTTACATCGGCTTTTTCACAAAAACATAATCTTCGGTCAAATACAAACTATAACTATCACTTGAGCAGAGTAAAAGAACCAAATTTCTCAATTATTAGCCAAGGCCCGTCATTATGGAATCAATTGAAAAATGACAATATATAAAATATTTGAAAAGCACTTTTTCTTTTAAACAACAAATGAAATGGTCGTTTAAATCTCCTTAATTTCTGAAATATATGTAAGTTGTTTGTATATATGCGTGTGTTTTTGTGTATATGTATATATGAGCATATATGAGTTTTAATTCTTCACGTAGTATTTTTCAGAAAAATTTTTTTAATGTAAATTTACTAAAGCCATGTGGGCTTTGAATGTTAATGTAAAAATGCTCTATAAAAAGATTGTGGTGACACTAGTCACCGTATCTTCTTTGAGCCCCTGTCTGTTTTATGTATATTTTTTGTGTAACGTAAAAGTTTCATTGCAGTTTTATTATTTTACTTCTGTATGAATAGCAAACTATATAAAAAAAAAAGCTTAGATTATATACAATTTGTAATGTAAATTAAAATGCCCAAAAATATCCTTAGACCATACAAGTTTTAATGCAGCACTGGTTTTAAGAACTACGGCATTTTATAAGGGCATGAAAAATTCAGAACTATTTATGTAAATATCTTTATCTGCGTGTAGTATTAGTGGCCTAACAACAGCAAGGACAGTGTAAGCAAATCTTACGGTTTCTCAAGCAACTAGGCCCAAAGCCGTGAGGTTTAGGAGCCTCTGGAGATATATTTAATTAGTTTTTTAGAATTTTTAGTAACAGTTTTTGTGCCAGAAAAACTCGACAGGTTTTAAAATTCAAAATTAAAAAGTTATGATTATATAAAGTTTACACCCAAACCAAATGAGCTGATTGAATTTTTTTCTAAACATTCTTATGTGATATAAAAAAGAACATGCTTAAGTTTGCTACTTAAGTATGTTTTATTTACCAAAGGTATATTTGTTAACCAAAATCATTGGTTTTTCGTAATTACGCAATTTTACTTTTTTAATTTTACTAAGTTACTTTTAATTACTTTTAATTTTACTAAGTTGAACGCATTCTTGCAAAACACATTATATCCTATGTTCAAGATAAATTATTATCAAATAGCCAATTTGGTTTTCTTCCTGGTAGAAATACAATTGATGCTATCATACAAGTAATTGATGACTGGGGATACGCTATTGACCGCAATACCTCATTAACTGCTGTTTTCTTCGATTTTTCGAAAGCAATCGACCTCGTTGACCACATTATCCTTATGCCCAAACTTGAAATCAACTTTCCATCATGGTTATCATCCTGGATCGCAAAGTGGCTTTCAAACCGTAAACAACATTATGACGAAGAGCATTACACACAAGAAATATGCAGATGATACCCTAGCTTACATAACTGGTAATAACTCTTCCCTTCCGCAAGAAGTGGCAGATCTACAATGATGGTACAATGATAATAAAATGTTTCTCAATATTGCCAAATACAAAGTTATTTATATTGGCAGAGGTGAAATGCCAGTCATAACATTAAAAAGCAAAATTCTTGAAGTTGTAAACTCATACAAATACCTTGGCATCAACCTCAACTCAAGTCTCAATTTTGACAAGCATTGATCTAGTCTACATAAGAAAATTGCCCCTAATAATCTTTTTAAGCAGCTCCGGATATTTGGTGGATGGTTTCAATTGCTTTAGCCACTTTAATTACAATGCAGAAATCCTCACCTCAACGACCAATAAAACTAAATCTAGGGTGCAAGTTTTTGAAAACCATCTTCTGAAAGCTGCTGGTATTGATCCACACAAGGCAAGCTACTATGGTATCCTTCCTATTGAAGTGCATCTTGATTTCGCATGTCTTAGCACACTTGAACGAATTTTAAACAAACCATCCAATCATGCTTAGTCTGCATAAAAACAATCACTCACATTCCACTTTCAAATTTAATATCATATCTGCAAAATCAACAATGTATTTAAACACATACCTACAAAAATTTATCTGCCACCTTCTTAATGATGCAAATAAACTTGGAGTTAACTCTACCCTTTACGTTACCTGAAATCATTCAATTATTTATATTTAAAAAATCAATATTTTTTTCAAGAAAAGATTATATTTACAAAAATTGTAGAACTTAAGGCAGAATAATTTGGGGTTATGTTATTAGTTTAAAAAAATATTGGAAAATGATCTTTCATGTTGATTTTAACCGATTCTAAGTAGCAATTATGCCGCAATCAACCTAGGTTTGACGCAGTTGGTGAACTGATATGCAACTACTTAGTTCATAATTAGAATACTTTCACTGCTTTTCCTTGAGACTAATTATTTTAAATCATGGTTTTGCTCATATATTAATAACTTCCGTTGGGTTATTTTGGAGTACCTCCTTTATAAAAATATTCGTGTATTATTATTACACTTGTTGCGTGTTTTTTTGGGAATGGGATCTTGTACATGTATTCACAAGCTTTGTAATGTCTTCCTATAAGAATTATTTAGTGATAAACACGGTTGTAAAATTTGAAGGTTTTCCTAAGAAACTGAGAGCCTGAAATATGTTTTGAATTTGAACTTTCAAAAAAAAAAAGCTTTCTGGTACTGAGACTAGATTGCTAATAAGTAATAACACAGAGACCAGTTCTGTGAAACAAGTTAGAATTTTTGCGCTTTTTAATAACGTATAACCCTTGATCTAATAATAAACTTTGTTTCTGTGACTCCTTTGTTGTCTGGTTTTTTTGAATGATACATTCAAAGTAAATGGACTCGATATCTAATTAATTTTGAGCTGTTTTATTAGATTTAAACAATGAAATTGTTACATGAACTACTTGTTTAAACTTTGGTAAGCAATGAATTTGCTTGTATTTTTTAAAGCTTTGCCTAATATAAATCTTTTACTCTTGCAGTGCTAATCAACATGTTTGCTAATTAATAAACACGTTTGTTTTTTTACCGTTACAGCGTTACTCAATAAACAAAATTGTTTCCAGCGTTACTCAAATCCATAAACCGTGAAAATGTTCGCGCCATCCAAATATTAGGCATTAATTTATTTCTAACGAATGTTATTTATCATATAAAAAATATTTTTCGATTAAAATTTATGTTGCAACCTAAAAAAACTTTTTTTGTTTTTTTGTGTGCCATATATTTTTGCGATGCAACCAGTATACGGTTCGTTTCAAATGAAAAATTTAGAGACTTCGAAGATAACAACAAAAAATTAGAACGAAGCAACAACAGCGTACATAGCTATCATTACAAAATTGAAGAAAACGAAGTGTTTAACAACAACAAATCTGATTGGCAGTTTAAAGGATTTAATATTAATAATAACTACATACTTGATAAAAAGCCAGCATCGGTCAGCATTTTGCATAAACATCAGTCAACTCAAAGAAAATGTCATCAAAATAATCGCTTTATAAGTAACCATTTAATAGAAAAACCAAAAAGAGAAAAGCAAAAAATTTTACTCATTTCAATAGACGGACTTCGTTGGAACTATCTTAACAAAGCACACACTCCAAACTTGAAAAGAATCATTAAAGAAGGAGTTTCCGTTGATTTTGTTTTAAATGTGTTCCCGACTTTATCCTTGCCAAATCATCAAAGTATTGTAACTGGACTATACCCTGAGCACCATGAAATGATTAGTTACACTATGAGAGATTCAAAATCTGGTCAGGACTTTGATGGAACCTCTGAATGGTGGAATAAATCGATTCCAATTTGGATAAGTAACCAAAAACAAGGTTATCAAAGTGGAATATCATTTTGGCCCGGATATAGAGTAAAGTATGATGGGATGCAGCCTTTTTACCTTCCAGACAAAATGCCTGATCAAAAATTCAATACTTCAAGTGAAAACAACGATAAATTCAACACCACAAGTGAAAACAACGACAAATTTAACAACAAATTAATGCCAATTAATGAGCGCATAAAGCAAGCTGTCAATTGGCTAAAGAATGACAATGTAACTTTTGTTGCATTGTATATAGAAACTGTTGATAAAGTTACACATACAACCTCCCCAGATTCCGATAAGAAAAATATGAAAACATCAATTGAGAAGGCGATTGTATCTGTAGATAGAAATTTAGGTTTTGTCCGAAAGCTTTTAGTAAAGAATAATTTGCAATCACTCGTAAACGTTATCGTCATAGGTAAGAGTTTTTTTTGCTTTAAATTTATTAAAACATTTTTTTAAAGCTAATATAAGTGTAGTTTACAAATAAATAGTTACAAATACTTCTTAAAAATTTTAGGTGACCATGGTTCCGTCGACGCCAACTACACTCAAATGATTGTGCTGGATGAATACCTAAATGTAGAAAAAAATATTGAACATATCGATGGAGTTACAAGTGTTTTTGTAACAACAAAATCAAAAAAGAAACAACACGTGTACGAGATACTCAAGAAAAAAAGTAAAACAAAAAATTCGCACTTCCAAGTCTATTTAAAAGAAAATATTCCAGAATTTTTTCATATTAAAAATAGTAACAGAATAGGCGACATTCTCATATTGCCAAAACCGGGATGGACAGTTGTGGCAAAAAAGTGGATGCCGTCGTATTATAAAGGACAGTGGAGCCGAGGTGAGAATGGTTATAGTAACATCGAGGCAACTATGAATCCTGCTTTTTTCGCTTATGGCCCTTCTTTCCGAGTTGGCTATAAACAATGGTGCGTTAAGACAATAGATATTTACTCTTTAATGTGCCATATATTAAATATAAACCCGGAATTTCACGACGGCTGCTTCGAACGAGTCAAACCTTTCTTAAAAGAGTTCAGAGGTGAAAAATACATTCAAGTAAACGATAAATTTGATCCTATAATTTGCTAGTTATTTTATTAAAAAAAATATTTATTTAAAAAGAATCTTAAGTTAATTTATCAAACATAGCTTGAAGCAACGTTTGAACAACGTTGGAACAATATTTGTTGTATCACCATTAAAAATCAGTTGCAAGTTGCAAAAGTTATCAGCTGCTATTTATACTCACTTCACTTTTAACTTTTCCATATTGTGAGGACATTCTAATTTTTTCCCATTTACCTGACTTCGCAGTGACCTAAAAATTAAAGTATATTAAAAATGTTAAAGTGAATTTTTATATAAAAATTTCTTATATTTATTTAAGAAAATTTGAATATACGCCTCTCTCAATTTATTAAAAAGTGTTTAAAAAGAGTATAAAAAACTTATACCGTTAACGATAAAAAAAAAACTCCTTATTTTTCCGAATCAGTTATCTAAATTATAGCAGACATAAGATTGTTATTTATTTAAGTTTTTTGAATTAGACGAGAAGAAAGACAAAAACATAAAATTTGGAAGATATTAGTGAAGAATTTACAAGTAGTAAAGTCTTTCTTGTAGTTTTAATAAAGATTGGGAGCTTATTTGTTAGTAAGCTTATTAGAGTTTTTTTTTTTGTGTTTTACGGTAAACATATACACTAAAACAAAGTGATATAATGTACTTAAAAACATCGTGACATCATCTTGCTGGTCTGCTGTCTTTAAAAGAGTTGATATTTCATCGTTTTTAACTAATGGCAACATAGAGGTAACAAATTCGCTTGAATAAGGAGGACCAATCATCTCAAGAACCTTTAAAAAAAAATAAAAACTTTTTTTAATTCATATTTAAAAATTTTGAAATTGGCGAATATAGTTTATAATATAGTATAAATTTCAAAATGGGAAAAGACGAGTTTAAGAGAGGAAACAGAAAATCAGGTTAAAATTCAAATTGTAATAATAATTTAATATTAATTTTAAGTCGTGGCCTCATATCGTACATAGCTTTAAATAAAGTAAAGACCAGTTAAAATTAAATTTATAAGCAAACATGAGTCCCGAAGTATCATCTTTTATAGCATGATATAAGCAATTATAAAAAGCGCTGATTTTCAATCAACATTATATTGAAAAACATGGTGATCTCATTAACAACAAAAAATATTACTCCATTTAACAACAGAATTAGCAATAAAAAGGTGAGAAAAATACAATTATTTGAAAAGCTAGTTTCCAGTACAGTAAATGTTTAGTGTATCACGTAAGACATCGCATGTAGGAAAATGTAAAATTCGAAAACAGTCAATTAATTTAATGGAATTGTATGGAAGTTAGGCATAAAAAAAAATAAAAAAAAGTTTAATGAAACAATATTTAACATTTTTAAGTACAGGTATAGTGCCCTTTAAAAGACAACAAATTTAAATTGGTTTTAATTATTATGGGAAGCTTATTTTTTTTTAAAGTTTTATTTATTATTTTGTTTAAATCTAAATAACTTGCTGACGGTTGAAAACAAAATTTTCTTTAACGTTTTATGTGTATGAAATTTGTCTATTTAGAGCAAGGTGTATTGTTTATAACTTAACTAATTTATTTATTGTAACTATTTAGTTTTATTTATTTATTGTAACTATTTAGAACAAAAGTATTATTTGTAACTTAACTAATTTATTTTTAAATTGAGTGAATTTAGGGCTACAAGTTACAAAATAAGTTACAAAATAAAGTTACAAAATAACTTTATAAATAACTTGAACTTTATTTTGTAACCAATAGCGACAGAGTATTTTTTGAGGGGGAAACCCATACTCTGTCGCTATTGGTTATAATGTAAAGTTCAAGTCGAGCTTGACTCAAGTTCGCTTCTTGCATTTCCCTTAAAAATACAATTTTGTTATTGTTGATATTTCCTTAACGATTAACTCAATTAGTGAGATATTTTTTAATTGAGGATATGCATGTTATTGAGGAGATGTTATTATCTGCTAAGTATAGGTATCTTGTAATAGAAAGAAATTTGGAAATGTTTATTGATTTTTTAAAATAATAATAAAAAAATCATGAAATTTCACACAAAAAATACATTTTGTAATAAGCATTAAAAACCTCATTTTCGGAAGTTATTTTTAAAATATTGTATTTTTTTCTTTCCTTTATATCTTAAAGTATGTTTTGAAAGATATCAGTACTTTTTATAACAGTTCAATTTCTTTTAACAGCTACTTCTTGTTTTGCAACATCAAAAAAAAAATTTAAAAATAAGTAAATTGCTGTTTTGTGTTTTTACATTGCTTTAATTGTACAGTAATTGTTGTAATAGTTAAAAATGTTCGTTATTATAGATAAAAATATAAAATGAAACCAAAATTTAGCTTAAGAGTAGCAGCGAATGCAAATTCTGTAATTAAAATTAAATTAAATTAAAAATTAAAGGAATAAATCTGAAGCAGCTGTAATGCAATTTAACCGAGATGAAAGAAACAAAAACAAGAAAAAAAAATCTGTACAGTGGTGCAAAATTAATGGAAAACAAGGATATTAAATGCCCAGAATATTTTTTAATTGGCAATAATATTCTGTATTATCAACAGGTCAGTTTCCATTAATGAAAAGCGAAATTGTGATCAATAAGCGATTAGATAACCTAGTTTCTACAGAAAATGAAATAAACTATGTAATGATACTAACCACTGAAGAAAAAGATACTATTATTGAGTATGTGCGCTGTAAGAATCGAGCTTACCAAGGTATAAACAGAAAAAAATTAACAAATCTTATTATGAATGTGTTCAAAATTTGAGATCATGCCAACAAAAAGATTAAAGGAGGAAGAAAGATTATTGCATTGACTGCAAGTGGAAGGGAAGCTTTTTTGAAGAAAAAGTAAAAAATGTTCTATTGTATTATTAAATATTGAAATTGTAAGTTTCTGTGCAAAACAAATTTACAGAAAAAAGAACATCAAAAATAATTACAGTGCTCTATTATATAAATCCCTTAAATATAATACTGTATTTATTATTTGTGTAAATGTAATTCTTTACTACAACATTAAAAAGTTAGTTTTATTATTATTATATTTTTATTTCTAGCCTGAGTAAGTCGTTTTGGAGACGATGGGATGCCAAAAATGCCAATGTTTCTTTAAAAAGACAAGGAATCATCACTATGAATTAATAGCAACGAATTGCACTCGTGAAATGACCTGCTCTTATTTAGGTAATAAAAAATTTGAATATCAATGTAAATAGCATGTTTTTATTGGGATTTAGAACTAGATTAAATGACTTCATTAAAATAAGTCAGAAATGGTAATACTGATTTAAAAATTAGAATCCAATTTTTTTGCTTTCATGTTCCAATTTAGTTTTTCACTACTTTTTATATGATCTTGCAAAAGAATCGGTGATTTGTGGCATCATTGTTGAAAAAAATTAAAAAGCATCGTCATTGGACTGGTCAAATTGACTTATCTTGGATCTTCAATCATGAAACACCACAGTTTGTTAACTATAGCGTTAATGGTTCAGCTAGCAGATTAGTATATGGTGGGTACGGTGAAAAAATATTTTTGCTGTCAAAAAATGATTCGGCATAATTGTGAATGTGTTACAATAAATCCAATGGTGTCATTATCTGGTACATTATACTTAAAACAGGTTTAAACTTTAAATTATTATATTATGCTATATAGTACTAGATATTGAAACTTATTTCATAAATTTTATTTTCTATATATGAAGATATAATCATAAAATGGTAAATTTGAAAATAAATATATTTCAAGACAACACATGTAATTTATATTTGAAATTTCAGACACATTTTCACTGCTTAATATACTATTTAAGTGAAAAATGCATCTGCCATGTAATATTTGGTGCTCAAGGAATTACTAGCCAGATGGCTCCACTAGTTGTTATTCGAAGTATTCCAAACCTATTGATTTCGACAACAGAGAATGGATCGCAAGGTCACAAATCCTTACTTTCATTTTATAAATTATTTGATAGACAATTAAAAAAGGCATACTTCGTCCTGTTGTTGTACTGAGCGATGGTCACAGTTCTCACTTTAATTATACCTTACTTCGATTTCTTAGAGAGAAAGAAATACATTTATATATATATCACCTCCAAATACTACTGGGGAAACACAGCTTCTTGATCAAATCAATAAGGCGCTTCATGAACATTATGCAAATGCAAAAGAAAATTTGTTTAGTCAACATCAAACAATTAATAGGGAGGCTTTTATGTTATCTCTTTCAAGTATGTGGGAGAAGTGGGCCACATCAGAGTCAATCCCAAAAGCTGGAATAAAGGTTAGTATTAGTAATGAAAGCTTAAACGTTGCATTTATGCAAATAGATAAATTCCAACAAGCTGCAATGCTAGTAGAGGAAGTTCGAAAAAACGATTCTGTAAATAAAATACCTCAACAAGATACAACAGCGTGTTTATCAGCTGCTTCACCTAATGTTACTGATACTTCATCAGTTCTAAAAGACAAAGAGAAATGGCTGAGTTGTTTGATAGATGCAAAGAAAGATGCATTTCAGACAAAACCATTTGTAAAGTTGCAAAACTTAAACAATGCTCTATGTATCAAATTGTTATGAAATCCGTATGTGGTAAATCAAAGTGCATTGTAGATGGTAAAAGAACAATTATGATTTTACCTAAATGTACAACAAAAAAATAACCGCTGCAAAGAAGTTGTTTAGAAAGTCTCACGATGAAGAAGACATTAAAAAAGATTTTTGATTCTATTAGATCAATAGAATCCTTGTTAATATTGATTAAAAAATTGCAGTTGTCATAAAAAACAGAGTTTCGTTTATTATTTTGAAGTTTTTTTTTTAGAAGAAAAATTAAGCTTAAAAACTTAAAAATTAATGGTGCCCTCAAAAATTTTTTTTTTTTTATATATTTAAAGAGCTTTTTAAGCAACCAAAACTATATGTTTGTATCAAAAAAGTGAAAAACAATTACTTTTCTGATAAGGACCCTATTCATAGCTTCTTTCTAGACTGGTTTTCGGACTTAAATTAAATATTTTTCGTTTTATATTAAATATTAGTGAAGTTGGTTCTCAACATTTTTTTATTATCTTCTGAGACAAAATCATAAAATTTTTTGAATTTCTTGAACTTTTTTCTAAAAGTTATATTTTAGGATATCTGAACTTGGCTTGTTTATATTTTGGTTAACAATAGTTATCAGCAATATAGTTTTTTTGTCTTTTTAAGGGCACTGTCTTTTTAAGGGCACTATACCTGTATATTTATAACACATTTTTACAATCGCTTGATATAAAAAAATAATAAAATTAAAACTAATAATATATATTATTAATTATATTAATATATCAATAAGTTGTACATTAATAAAATGAGTAATTACAGATTTAACAAACTGAAAACTTGTGTGGTAAAACTTTTTCAAATGTCTCATGCAATATTAAGAGCTTTAAAACAAAATTGAACTCCATCAACTTTGAAAAATACTATTCCTGCTAACTGCATCTGGTGTAACAAAATTTAACAGTTTTTGTTTAAATTCAACTTCATAACTTATTTTTGTTGGTTTTATAGTATAATTATTGCATTATTGCGGGGCACATTGTCAGAGTCTTATTTATTTTTTGGGCCTGCATATCCTTTAGAGCATGTATTATTGTTCTAATAAATTTAAATCAACCAACCAATCAGCTTCAATTATTACTTTTAAATGTTATTAGGAATTTATATAACAAAATCCTTATAAAAATTGATCATAAAATAGTACGAATTACCTCAGCAACAAAATGGCGAAGAAGAGAAACATCAGTAATTTGTTTATTCATGCATTCTTTCATATATACCACAACTGGAATAATATAACCACGGCTTAAAATGTGTACCATACGATCCACTAAAGTCTTTTTAAATTCTAACTAAAATGAAAATAATGAGTTAGATTATATAATTTGAAAATAAAAATAAAATTAAAATAAAATTCAGCAGTTAGTTCAGATTTTTACTTTTCTTTTTTTTAAATCACTTAAATTTTTAAAAACTTAAATTTGCAGTTTTTTTAATCAATTAGTTTAAATCAGGTATGTAGGTTTTTTTTTATGTTGGTTTTTTTAACCAGTTAAATATAGCGCATATGCATTTCTGATGATCGTGATTTTTCAAAAATCACTAACAACTTGAGGGGTTCCAAATTAAACCGAAACTGACAAATATAACTCCAATATTCAAAATAAGAAATCAGCTAACTCTAAAGGTTGGTTTCCATATAGTCGCACAACAGTTGTGCGACAACTGTCGCGCAACTGTTGTGCGACTATATGGCAACTTTTGCAATATTTGTCGCATGACCCAGCTGTTTCCATTAATTTTAGAAGCGTCCCAGAACAATAAAAGAATCCCAACACTTTTTTCTAGCAAAAAAAGAAGATTTTTTTTTCTTCAGCTTTAATTCTTTCGGACAATATTTCTCTTAACTTTAACTAACTTGATTTGTATTTCAATTTAGTAATAGCTAAAATAATATTAAAAATAAATATATATATATATATATATATATATATATATATATATATATATATATATATATATATATATAATAAGAATAAAGAAAAAAAGAAAACACAAATTTTGGATACACTCATTATTTAGAAATCATTGCGAAAAAGAAGCATTAAACACACTAATTCCTGAGCTACGCCTTCATGACAGAGAATTTTTTTATAGATTTTACAGAATGTCTCCTAAAAGGTATGAGCACTTGCTGTTAATGGTTGCACCTAGCATAACAAAAAAATCTTGTCGAAGCCGTCAAACTATATCACCTTCAGATCGATTGACTGTGACCCTGAGATATTTGGCTACTGGGGATTCACAACAAACACAATCTTTTTATTTTAGACTGGACAGAACAACAGTATGCAACATAATCAATGAAACAACAAAAGCTATTTGGGATGTTTTGCAACCAAGTTATTTAAAGGCACCAGAAAGTTCAGATGAGTGGGAAAAAATAGCAAATGAATTTGAAAATGAGTGGAATTTTCCTAATTGCATTGGGGCAATAGTCGGCAAACATGTATGCATTGAAGCTTCTGTTTCAAGTGGATCTGCTTACTACAACTACAAAAACTATCATAGTATGGTTTTGCTAGCCATATGTGATGCAAAATACTGCTTTACTTTGGTAGATATAGGTAGCTATGGTAGAGATAATGGTGCATCTATATTTAATGAAAGTAAAATGGGTAAAGCTTTTAAATATAATTTGTTCAAACTTCCCAAGAACCGACAGCTATCAAATGGCACACAAGTACCACCAGTGCTAGTTGGTGATGATACTTTTGCGATAAAACCTTGGTTAATGAAACCTATTTCTGGTAAAAACTTAACAATCAAAGAACACAATTTCAACTATCGATTGTCTAGGACTAGAAGGACAATTGAAAACTCCTTTGGAATTATGGTACCTAAATGGAGAATATTTAGACGTCCAATAAAAGCAACCCCTAAAAATATTGAAAACATCATAAAAGCCGCAATTTGTTTACATAATTACTTAAAACTCAATGACAGCATTCACTATGTACCATCTGGATTTGCTGATTTAGAAACAAATTCTGGTGAACTTATTCCTGGAGACTGGAGAAAAATTGCGCTTGAAGGTAATGCTTTAAACATTTTACCTCGATGTATAAGCAATTGATACACAACAGATGCTAGCACTGTGAGATTAATGCTAACAGAATGTTTTAATCATCCAAGTGGATCCTTATCATGGCAACATAATTATGTATCTAGTTGTGGGCACAATATGACAGGAAAGCAAATTTTTTTCCAATAGTGAAAAAAACACATCCATTCTTCTGTTTTAATAATACATTGTTGTGTTAATATATTAAATTACTATTTAAAAATTACATATAACAAAATGTTGAAAGTTTTTAAAAGAATGTTAACAAATTATATTTCGTGAAACAATATCTGGAAATTCCAGAGCAGCTAAATATTGCTGAATGTTTATTTTAGCAACTGCTTGAGTTTTAGGAGGTAATCTCTTTATTGTTGCACAAATAGATTTACAAAAATATGTAATGTCATCATTTTCTTCAAGTAACTAACTCCTAATGTTGCATTAATATTGCTCATAGTAGTGAGTATTGCATCTTTTCTAGTTTTGTATTTTCATCAGATCTTTTTTAATTCTTTTTTTTTTATATTCATAGGAGATGTTATTTCATTTAAAGATTTTTGTTGATTACTAGATGTACTTGGCCTACATGTATTAGACAAAGTTAACAGACTTGTATTGTCATTTAAAGTTTCTTTTTCTAATTCTTCCTGATTACTTAATTCTTCATCATAACTCATATTTTCATTACTTATACATGACAAAGGTAATTCTTCAACATTTTTTATTATATCTCTGTTATTGTTGTTTTGTATCTCTATTGCTGTTTTATCTCCAAGATTTGTTGTCGTTATTTCTCTATGATCAATGTACACATTTAACCATTGCAAAAAATCGTACTCTTTGCTGATATTGATTCGCCCTGACCTGAAGGTGTACTTTTTTTTTCCTCGAAAAGCAACCATAAGCCGACCTTTTTTTTTGTATTTTGATTCACACTATTGTCAGTTAAACCAAACGAAACGAATTTGTCATATAGTACAGGATATTTCTTTACTTCCTGCATGAAACTCTCTTTACTAAAATCTTTCCTGATTATTTTCAATTTTATTTCGATGTGAATTTTTGTTATGTTTTAATTAATATTTCGTTTTCTAATATTCAACCAATCGCATTGTAGGGTCGTGCAACAATTGTCATAGAGATTTTTCTATCTCTACGACAACATAAAATGTCAAATAGAACGACAAGTCTCTAAAATTGTAAAAGTGTTACAACAGAAAATAAATTAAAATAATAATAATTAAATAAAATATTTTCTATAAACACCAACAAGGTTTTGTAAAGCAAGAAAAAAAAACAAATTTTAACAAATTTAATTGAAACAATGGATTTTGTCACTACCAACTTTTCTTTCTGGTCCTATATTGTTCTTGGTCATGAAAAGATCATGGAGTAATCATACCCTTTCAAATACAAACCAACCTCCTAGGTAAGTGAACACTGCTGAATATGTTTAATAGTTGTTAAACAAAGCATACAGATTTGATTATAAAAAGTTGTAGATAAAAAGTAGTAACCTATTAATCCCATCAGTAAATGAAAAGAACAACATAAATTAAAATAAAAAAGTTATTTATAGAAAAGGTTTGGAATTTTTTAAAACTAACTCAGAGGCTAATCAACTCTTTCTCAAATACTTTTTTAACAAAAAAGTGTACTTGAAAAAAAAAATTTATTTAAAAAAATAATTTTAATAATTTTTGAAAAGATAACTTTAAAATTATTTGAAATTTTATTGATTAAAAATCTTTTATTTTGCTTTGATTTTTTTATTTATTTATGTAATCAGCAAGTAAACTCAATCAACAAGTAAACTCAATTAACAAGTAAACTCAATCAACAAGTAAACCTAGGCAAATCTTTTCAGGTTGGTGAATTATACTATTTAAAAGGTTGGAGAAAATTAACAAGATGAAATAATATTCAAATTAAATAAAATTATTTTCAATTCAAATAAAAAACTTTTTTTTTTAATTGATAAAAGCCTTGTAAAATCAGATCACCTGCCCTCTGAGCAAGGGGCAAATTAAGCGATTGCAAATTGTGCAATCGCTTAATTTCCCCATTTATTGATCTAGAAAATATATTATTCAGATCATCTTGGTCATATTAAAAAAAACCGGAAAACATTTTGCAAAAATAAAAACCCGGTAAATTTTCCTTTTATTTGTATTAATTTAACTTTAAACTAATGGCTTTTTCAATTTTTTTGAAGCTTTTTTTCTCTTTTGTATGGGTAATGATTTAAAAAGTTAAAAAATATATATATTACAAAAATATTTATTTAAACTTGGGTAAACGGAAAACTTTTTGGAAATCCGGAAAAACTAAAAGTTGAAACAAATATCCAGAATTATCTGGATATTTCCAGAAATATCCGAAAAAAAGATAATCCCTAATTATTTAAAGAAATCACAATTGCTTATTTTTATATTCCTGGGGGTTAAGGACACAAAGTAACCAGGTCTGACGAATATTTCCTTTGTTTTTTTGTCTGTCAGGTTGCCCAAAGCCAATTTTAAAATAAATTGGAGCATTTTTCGGACCACAAATATCATTAAAAAATATTTGCTTTTAAAGCTTGCCTATTTATATACGCTTTTAAAGTTTTGAAGTTTGATTATTGTTTTACATGCAATTATTGTTTTTTCTACACAAATTTTTGCAATCTGTTAAATTTGAGTTAATTTACCCCTTGTTGAGTGAAAGAGGTGTTGTAACAGTGCTGAAACAGTGAGAAAAATATTAAAAACTTACCGCTACCATAAGTGTTTATCAATTTTTTTAAACCCATACAATACTTTTTTTATCCACAATAATATTTATAATTTTAAACAATTATTACCTCCACAAGTGTATTTAGTTTAGGATAGTTTCTTTCAAAAAGATTCTGTAAAAGATTCATAATAAGCTCATGCTGTAATGGATGATTGTTACTCATCTAAAATTGTTAATAATAATAAAATAAACTATTACAACTAAAATATTCAAATAGAACTTATGTAAACATAAATTATTATTGTCGACTTAATAAAAATTGTATAACAAACTCAATATTTATGATAAAATAAAAATTATATAAAAAGTTTATATTTTTGCTACTTTAAAACAAACGATTATTTTATTTGTAAGATAGTAAGGTAAATATATATATATATATATATATATATATATATATATATATATATATATATATATATATATATATATATATATATATATATATATGTATATATATGTATATATATATATATATATATATATATATATATATGCATATATACACATAAATATATGTATATATATATGCAAATATATATATATATATATATATATATATATATATATATATATATATATATATATATATATATATATATATATGTATATATATAAGATAGTAAGGTAAATATATATTACAATATATATTAAGACTTCCTATCATTTACTAATCTTCTTTTTGCTTGTAGTAAAAAAGAGTAGGAGCATTGTTTGCATTATCTAGCAGAAAAAACTTATCTGCATATAATTACAAATTTATCCAGTTATTACTTAAATAATTTTATTCATAACTTCTTCTCAATAATATAGCACAAAAGATGGGTGTGTGAATTTATTTATCATTATAGATCAAAATAAGTTTTTAGCGGAACAAATTAAAAACTTTTATCTTGAATCTACATATCTATTTGCTTTTCATGAGAAGCCTTAGATAAACTCTTAAATCCAATCTCATCTACAGGGTTAGCTTCATGCTCTATCTTTTAAATAAATGAAATGATTCTTCTGAAAGACATTTTAATTTTTTTAATTCGCTGCAAAAAAAAAAGCTCTAAATCTTTGAAAACTTTTTGAAAATCTGGAAAAACTAAAAGTTGAAACAAATATCCAGAATTATCTGGATATTTCCAGAAAGCACAGAGATATTGGATATTGCCAAAAAGCACAGAGATTTTAAATGTATTTAAAATATATTTATGGTATCATTATTATGGTATCTTTGATCTTAAATTTGAATACCAAATTTTTCCAGATGAGCAACGCTTATTGATGTCCCTTGACTGGCTTTTATTAGCCATTAACTTTTTATGCAAGTAAAAAATTAGCATTAATTTTGCACATATTCCACAGTTTTAGCATAAATGAAGCCACAGTTCTTTAGTCTTTTCTATTTTTTATTAGAAACATTGAATTCTTGCTCAAGATGGATTATTACTAGTTAAACTTTTTTACGAAATTCATAAAATCTTCGCAGCATTTTAATAATGCTCTATCAAGTTTTGTAATCTGAAAAAAAAGCTTTTTCTTTCCCAAAAGACTAAATATTTTGAGATTGGAGACTTTCACCATCCTTGACTGGGTCTAGTTTTGACTCAGGTTTGATTCACTGTTAGATTCATCACATCCCACCTATGTTTCATCATAATTATCTTCCTCAGTTACATCATTAATTACAATATAGTTCAAATTATTATATTTATATTATATCACAAACAAAAATATGATTTGTATGTGTAAGACGATGTGAATAGGACTAGCCTCTTTTTCAAACTTTAAACTGAAGAAACTTCATTTTTTCATCATTGCACTGGCACCATTACTGATTACTGATGCTACAAAGTCATTGTCCAAATCATGATTCCATGGACACAACTCCAAGTAAGGGGTCGTCCATAAAGTACACATGCTTATAGGAGGAAGGGGTCTGCAAATACCGTGCAGAAGCGCATTGGAGGAAGAGGGGTCAGTAAATGATTAGGATGGAACCAGCCACTCTGAGAGATACTATAGTATTCAATAAACCTTACTAAAAGCCAGCCTCAGAGTTTTAGAATTGTACCGTCATTTGAAAAGCACAGCCCTGAAACGTTTTCAATATTTACAAAGAAATACATGTTGGAAGCCAGGAATTGAGAAATACAAGCTAAAAGCCATGAATTGAGAAATACAAGCTAGAAGCCATGAATTGAGAAATACAAGCTAGAAGCCATGAATTGAGTAAAAAAATATAGAATGATCATTAGTTTCAATTAGATAGGAGATTTATGCAATCCAAGCTTTAACTAAAACTTATTAGTTATTTATAGATTTTAACTTTTAAGTTAGTTAGATTTTTTTATTTGTTAGGAAACTGAACTTTTTTTTATATTTTTGAAAATTTTAATTTTTTTAAGTTTAGAAAAAATTATTTTTAAATA